TATCGTCATTTCAAGGGTATACTGCCGACAATACTCGGTCAAATGCCGTAAAGTCGCCATTTCTGACCGAATCCAACTAGCTCCGCGAAAAGATCGAAAAGTACAACATCAGTCCTCAAATGTTTATAATTTTGACGAGAAGGGATTCCAAATTGGTCTCTCTCGCTCCACCAAGCGAGTTGTCCCCCGAGAAGCCCTCAGGCGCGGAAAACTGGTCGGGGCAAGCCAAGACGGGAACCGGGAGTTCATCACGCTGATCGCTGCCATATGTGCAGATTATTCGTACCTGCCACCGGCCCTCATTTACAAAGGGGAGTCAAAAGACTTTCAAGATACTTGGCTTGAGGATTTTGACCATTCCAGCGAAGTAGCCTTCTTCGCCAGTACGGAAAACGGCTGGAGCTGTGATGCACTGGGTTTACACTGGCTTCAGCGCATATTTGACTGCCATACGAAGCAAAAGGCTGGTCGTGCCTACCGTCTCTTAATTTTAGACGGTCACAATAGTCACATTAACCTGAAATTCATTGACTATGCCGATCGGAATCGAATTCTCATTGCTGTGTTGCCATCGCACTCAACTCATCGGCTTCAACCACTCGATGTTGGCCTGTTTTCCGCACTCTCCACCTATTATGCTCAAGGTTCCGACCAGCTGATGTCCATTGGATGGGGGTTAATTCGCCTTACCAAACGGAATTTTTGGCCACTCTTTCGTGATGCGTGGAACCAGGCATTTACGGCCAAAAATATCGAGGCTGGTTGGCGGGCCACAGGAATCCATCCACTCGACCCCGGCAAAGTATTGTCCAAGATTAGCCACAGCAGTGATGTGACACCCCCACAAACTGCATCTGAGGAAAGGGCGATGAAGACTCCAGGCTCTCTTCGGGCTATTCGGCGCATTACCCGCCGTCTCCGCAAGGAAGGGCTGATGGACTCCCGAGTCACAGCGCTCTCCCGAGCATCAGAGAAACTGGCGACACAATATGAGCTCGTACAACACGAAAATCGAGATCTACAGGAAGCGCTCAAACTTGCACATAAAGGAAACGCAGAAAGGCCTTGGGCCTTTTCAATCCGGAAGAAAGTGGTGGCCAGCCGGTCTTTTTCAGTCCAGCCAAGGTGGAACTGGCGCGGCGACGTCAGACGGACAAGGCACAGGCCGACGAGCAGCGCAAGCAAGCCATTGAAGATCGTCGACTCCAGGTAGCCATATCACGTGAAGAAAAGGCTCGAGAATCTGCCGAGAAGAAAACAGCGGGCTGCAATGCGTCAGGCCTTGCGAGAGCAGCGTTCTCGAGAGAAGACAGAGCGTGCTGCGGAGCGCGAGGCAAAGCGAGCTGAGAAACGGGAGGCCGCAGCAAAATTAAAAGCAGAGAGGTCTGCACGCGAGGCTGAACGCCAGGCTATTCGGGAAGTCAAGTTTGAGGTAGCTGCTACGTCAAAGCCTGGTGTAAGAGGGCACAAAGACATGGTAGCGGTGAGAAAACGAGGGCGTTGGAAGCGGGTTTGCGCGACGGGCATTCAACCACGCAACAACTCGGAGGAAGAAAGGGTAAAGATTGGTTCTGAAGCTTCAGTGGCTCGAGACCACAGTCCCGGAGCTTTAGGGGTAAAGACATACCTCCCGTTCGACGGAAGCGCAGGGAAGTATGGAGGCCGGTTTCTCAGTCTCTCAGGTCTGGGCGGACCACAAGACCGCCTGCTCATATTTCCTAAGAAAACCATCATATAGATAGACTCTGTATGAAGTGTTTCACATATTGTAATGTTTAATAGTATTTTAAATGGTTGTGTCGGTTGCAGGATTAATTTTCGCTCTGGCTTGCCGGTCGGGCAATTTGTTGCATGACGTGGTGCGTTGCATGACTCAGTGAGGTACGTTAAGTCACGATGGTTGTTTTTGGTGTTTTTTTTTTGGTGCGAGCCCGAGTCAACGGCTCACGTGTGGTGCCCAAGCAGACTTGAGCTATGGTGTGAGGCTTACACAATGGCTCACTGGTGCTAATCAAAGCAAAGGGTAGGAATTGCTACCAATCTGATGCATTTTGCATATGGATGAGATGAAGTGGGATGGTTGTCTCTCCAAATAAGCTATGACTGCCTCATCCTTATGTAGGAGGCAGCCAGGTCGGACTATCTAGGTGATCCGGCCGGTTTACCAGGCAGCCACATACCGATGCCTGTTCACACGGCTGCCTGTCTCACACGGCTGCCTGTTCACACGGCTGCCTGTTCACATGGCTGTGCGTTCGGCAGCCGGTGTCTTTGATGCTTGGTGCCGTGCCCAACGCCCCAGTGTGCGTAGGGACACGCAAAAACGCATCAAATGCTTTCCGACCTCCACTTTCGCGATATCCTGAGCGAAATTCTTGATCATAGACAAGGTAGGCGGAATGCCGCGTGCTGAAAGCTTGTGAATATAAGCAATAAGATCTCGTTCTTGCTGCTTTGACAGCCGTGATTTATACAATGAGTCGGCATCACGTCTTGACCGCTGTTTGCCTTGATGTCGCCGTCGCAACGTAGTCTCGTCACAGTTGAATTTCCGTGCAGTATCGGCATAATTCACGGATTCCGAAGATTTCAGAAAATCAAGAGCCTCGTCAATCGGCGCCATTGTTGTTGAGCTGTCCCGGATTGACGTTGAGACAAATGTCGGTGTATGTATGTATGTGTATTTCACCCGGAGGATTTCTCCTATAGGGCCTAGACGTAAAAGCTACTGACATTTCAATACATTAATGCGTAACACCTTAAGCCCCACGGGTCAGCATACGCTACACCAACCTCGCCGCTACTCTCTCCGTGACAGGCCTGCTTGAAGGCCGAATTCTCCAAGTGTTCAGCATCCTATTCGCAGCAGCTGAAGCGCGGTCTGCCAGTTCGAAGCTGAGATGTGTTAGTGCAGTTGCCTATTAGAGTTCAATTGTTTTCTGATGGTTGCTGGTTTCTGTCGAGCCGTTCCGTCTCAATTGCAAATTTGATCGCCGCACGAACAGCCTGCACGTCTGGCTTCCATTTGTCGCCATCCGATGCAGCCTTTCCTCCCAAGAAGAAAGACAAGTTCCCAATCTTGGCCCTCGCGCATTCGAAGAGAATGTTCCGTTGCGTAATCCACTTTGTGCATCGAAAGAGAAAGTGATCAATTGTTTCTCGTGCCTGTCCACAACCACACAAATCCGAATCTGTAGCTCCTATCGCATGTAGGTACCCATTCAGTCGCGACATGCCGGTGCGAAGCTGGACGAGAATGTCGGCTTCTTTTCTTGACAGAGAATCGTAAAGAGTGCGGGTGTGCTTCCCTGGCAAAGCCTCGTCGATGCGTTTTGAGTGTTTTCCCACATTTTCCGGAAGCTTGTCACGCTGTTGTCGAGCGAGTGCCAGACGAAGGGTGGTGGATCTGGCTCTGCACGACGGCTCCTCTGCCACGGCTCCTGCTTGAGTTGCTTTCTTCGCTGCCGTCTTGGCGGCCGATGCCCATGCGAGCCGTACTTCCTTGGCTGGTGCCCAGGTGAATTTCACGGACCAGCCTCGCCTGACTAACGTACCTCACTGAGTCATGCAACGCACCACGTCATGCAACAAATTGCTCGACCGGCAAGCCAGAGCGAAAATCAATCCTGCAACCGACACAACCATTTAAAATACTATTAAACATTACAATTATGTGAAACACTTCATACAGAGTCTATCTATATGATGGTTTTCTTAGGAAATATGAGCAGGCGGTCTTGTGGTCCGCCCAGACCTGAGAGACTGAGAAACCGGCCTCCATACTTCCCTGCGCTTCCGTCGAACGGGAGGTATGTCTTTTACCCCTAAAGCTCCGGGACTGTGGTCTCGAGCCACTGAAGCTTCAGAACCAATCTTTGCCCTTTCTTCCTCCGAGTTGTTGCGTGGTTGATTGCCCGTCGCGCAAACCCGCTTCCAACGCCCCTCGTTTTTCTCACCGCTACCATGTCTTTTGTGCCCTCTTACACCAGGCTTTGACGTAGCAGCTACCTCAAACTTGACTTCCCGAATTGCCTGGCGTTCAGCCTCGCGTGCAGACCTCTCTGCTTTTAATTTTGCTGCGGCCTCCCGTTTCTCAGCTCGCTTTGCCTCGCGCTCCGCAGCACGCTCTGTCTTCTCTCGAGAACGCTGCTCTCGCAAGGCCTGACGCATTGCAGCCCGCTGTTTTTCTTCTCGGCAGATTCTCGAGCCTTTCTTCACGTGATATGGCTACCTGGAGTCGACGATCTTCAATGGCTTGCTTGCGCTGCTCGTCGGCCTGTGCCTTGTCCGTCTGACGTCGCCGCGCCAGTTCCACCTTGGCTGGACTGAAAAAGACCGGCTGGCCACCACTTTCTTCTGGATTGAAAAGGCCCAAGGCCTTTCTGCGTTTCCCTTTTTTATGTGCAAGTTTGAGCGCTTCCTGTATATCTCGATTTTCGTGTTGTACGAGCTCATATTGTGTCGCCAGTTTCTCTGATGCTCGGGAGAGCGCTGTGACTCGGGAGTCCATCAGCCCTTCCTTGCGGAGACGGCGGGTAATGCGCCGAATAGCCCGTAGAGAGCCTGGAGTCTTCATCGCCCTTTCCTCAGATGCAGTTTGTGGGGGTGTCACATCACTGCTGTGGCTAATCTTGGACAATGCTTTGCCGGGGTCGAGTGGATGGATTCCTGTGGCCCGCCAACCAGCCTCGATATTTTTGGCCGTAAATGCCTGGATCCACGCATCACGAAAGAGTGGCCAAAAGTTCCGTTTGGTAAGGCGAATTAACCCCCATCCAATGGACATCAGCTGGTCGGAACCTTGAGCATAATAGGTGGAGAGTGCGGAAAACAGGCCAACATCGAGTGGTTGAAGCCGATGAGTTGAGTGCGATGGCAACACAGCAATGAGAATTCGATTCCGATCGGCATAGTCAATGAATTTCAGGTTAATGTGACTATTGTGACCGTCTAAAATTAAGAGACGGTAGGCACGACCAGCCTTTTGCTTCGTATGGCAGTCAAATATGCGCTGAAGCCAGTGTAAACCCAGTGCGTCACAGCTCCAGCCGTTTTCCGTACTGGCGAAGAAGGCTACTTCGCTGGAATGGTCAAAATCCTCAAGCCAAGTATCTTGGAAGTCTTTTGACTCCCCTTTGTAAATGAGGGCCGGTGGCAGGTACGAATAATCTGCACATATGGCAGCGATCAGCGTGATGAACTCCCGGTTCCCGTCTTGGCTTGCCCCGACCAGTTTTCCGCGCCTGAGGGCTTCTTTGGGGACAACTCGCTTGGTGGAGCGAGAGAGACCAATTTGGAATCCCTTCTCGTCAAAATTATAAACATTTGAGGGACTGATGTTGTACTTTTCGATCTTTTCGCGGAGCTAGTTGGATTCGGTCAGAAATGGCGACTTTACGGCATTTGACCGAGTATTGTCGGCAGTATACCCTTGAAATGACGATAAAAGCAGTCTTACTAGATTGAAGAAGTTTTGGAAATGCCTGAATTATCAGCAGCCTTCCGCTGATGATCTATGGTGCGCAAATACAAGCTCGAAAGACGGTCATGGTGTCGCTTGCGGAAGCGGCTCACCCAGTTGACACCAAGCTCTGTCCCTGCGATTTCCTCGGCGATATTCTTCAACATCTGAGGGGTAGGCGGGATACCACGGTCGGTCAGCTTATTGACGTGCCCAATAAGAATCTCCTCCTGCGCGCTGGTGAGTTTCTGTCGCGAGTAAGAGTTCGCGTCGTGATTTGAGGCTGTTTTGCCTTTGAAGCGGCGCCACAGCGTGGATTTGTCGATATTGTATCTCCTCGCGGTCTCTGCATATTTAGGGCGATCTTGGGATTGCAGTTCTATAATTGCCTCTGCAATACGAGTGTTGTGGTCCATATCGCGTCAATTTGAAGAAGACGCGTCAGGTGTTGAAAATTGTTGCATGACCTAGTGCGTTGCATGACGCAGTGGGGTACGTTATTGTCACGAATAGTAGGGCCAAATAGGCATAAAGTTAGTATTTCAGAATCGTCCGGTGCTGCTCCATTTTCCCTTCTGTTCTCTGTGTCTGTTCCTTCCTTCCTCGCCCTTTTATTCCTGGCCACAATCTCGATCTTCTCCGTCTGCCTCACACCTCCGTCAATCGTCGGGGGTGGCTGCGCCCCCCCCCCCACTTTTTCCTAGGACACCGTCCCTGACGGCCGGGCTGACTGTCTCAGCCGACGCATCAGAAAGCAGGCCTGACGTCCTGGCTGACTGTCTCAGCAGGAGCATCAGCAAGCAGGGAACCTCTAGAGGTCCTACGAGCGGCTTCGCAACACACCCCCTTAGTGACGGCCAACCAGGACGTTGCTAGAGATGCGGGAATGTCGTGCACGACTCATCTCTCGCCCTGGGCCTCTTTTATGGCTATCACGGGATGTATCACATCTCGTAATTCTTCAAGCTTGGCCTCTCTACTCAATCGTTCCTTTATCTCCTCAAGCCCAACCATTCGTTGGAACTCGAGGAGCTTCTGCCTCGGCAATGCCTTCGTCAAGCCATCTGCTCGCATATGTGTCGTAGGCACCCAATTGACCCGAATTCGAGCATCTTGAACCTCTTGTCGTAGCCAATGCTGATGAATGTCTACGTGCCTCAGTCTCGTCGAGAGCTTCGTACTCTCCTCTTTGAGAAGTCTGATCGTCTGGGCATTGTCGCATTCCACTACCAACGGAGAGGGAATTCGGATGTCCAGGAATTCAACAGACGGCTCAGGAAGATCGCCTCCTTTGACGCCTCTGAGAGAGCAAGCAACTCAGCCTCCGTGCTTGACGTCGTGACTGTCGCTTGCTTTGACGCTCTCCACGCCACTGATCCTCCAAATAGGGTCATGACGTAGCCTTGTGAGCTCTTCCTGTCGACTGAATTGTCTGCGAACGATGCGTCACTCGAACAGAGGAACAGCTCCGCTTCCTTCGATCCTCCTCCGAGACGTAACGCGTACGATCTCGTTGCAAAGAGGAAGAGGATAACTCTGTCTGCTGCTTTCTGGTGCTTCTCATCGGGATTGTGGTTATGTCTTGCCAGTCGGGATACGGCAAACGCAATATCTGGTCGCGTTGAAATTGCTGAGAAGAGCACGGAACCAACCTTCTGGAGATACTGATGTTTTTCCCTTTCATTTGCTTGGCTTGTAGCTGGCAGGAGCTCTTCGTCAGAGATCATTGGCGTGTCTGGGAGCTTGAGAGACTCAGGGGCGTTGTCGTTGTTTAACAGGAACTTATACGCGATCTTGTCGATATAGGCGTCTTGCGTCAGCCAAAGCGTCTTCCTTTGACGATCGCGGAGGATACGAATCCCCAAGAACCAGCGAGGTTCTCAAGCCGAGTTAGGTTGATCTTTTCTGTAGTCCCCGAGTAGCTTCTTCGACGACCCCTTCGTCCTCCTTCCGGAATGCCCAGATGATGTCATCAACGTAGAAGAAGACGGTCACCGCTCCTTCACCATGACACACGGCTCCTGGGAACTTTTCTGAATCCCAGTTCCTCTAGAGACGACGTAAGCATCTGTTGCCAGAGGAGCGGCGAGCGGCGTAGTCCGTAGAGAGCTTTTCTCAGGCGTAGGACTTTCCCCCTCTTCTGGAACCCCGGTGGCATCCTCATGAAGATAACTTCTTCGTCGTCGAGGGGGGCATGAACAAAAGCATTGACTGCATCCATCTGTTCCAATTCGAGGTCGTGTTCCGCGGCAATGGCCATTAGCGTACGAAACGACATTCCTGCGAGGGTAGTCGCTCGAGTAGGCAGGTCCCCTTTTCTTGCTGATTGCCACAGACAACGAGGCGAGCTTTGCACTTTGGAGATTGCCGTGCTTATCAGTCTTATAGATGAATACCCACTTGCAACCGAGGACCTGCTTTCCAGCAGCCTTCGTCCAGAAGACCTCGTCAAACGAGCCCATTTCCGCATGTGAGGCCAGGTGGTCTCTCTGAGCCTGGGTGAATTCCTCTCTATACGGGTGTTTTTCTAGTTGCTTCTGCGTCTGTGGAGGCTCGGGTAGGTCTCTCTTGTGGACTTTTGCGCTTTTCGGTCTGAACAACCTTCCTGCTGTGAAGGCTCCGTGCACCCCGTCCTCAATTGGCACCGGGACGAAGTCGGCAAAACGGTCGATGTATGACTGATCCAGCTCTGGTTGATCAAATGGTTCCAGAGCTTTCAAACGCGATTCTTTCATCAGGCCTTCAAGGTCGGCTTGAAATGCCGCTCCTCCAAGAGAGCAACCCACCCCTCAGGGTGAGCCTCCTCTTCAGGATCATCCTGAACCCGGACTCTCTTCTGAGCTTGCAACGGCTCCAGATCGACTTGGAAAGGGGCTTTTACCACCACCCCCTTAGGGTCAGCGTATGGAAAGTGAACCGAAAAGACTCCATGTGGTTCTTCTTCCTCCGGGTCAGAAGCTGGTGGCGTTAGGTATGCATCTTCCAGCTCCCGCGCTCTCCCGTAGTCTTCTTTTCCTGCTCTTCGCTTTGTTGTTGTCCCTGCTCCTCGTCTTCGTTATCTTCAGCCATTCTGATGTCATCATCCTCGAAGTCCTCGATATCAGTGTCTTCATCGGTCTCTTCGTCAAGGATGGCCTGATTCGCCGTCTGGCCTTCCGGGATTTCAATCTGTTGGATCATCTCTCCGATGCTCGCAGGCAGCGGCATCCGCTCGCCTCCTCCTTCGAAGAACGTATACTCGTCAAAGACAACATCTCTCGTTGCAATGACCTTCTTCAAGAGAGGGACCCAAATTAGGAAGATATTTGTAGACTTATAACCGATGAGGTATCCGATGTGAGCTCTCGGGTCGAGCTTCCACCTCTTCCTCAATCCAAGCTGTGCATTTGCTGTCATTGCGTAGGCTCGGCAGCCGTACGCACGAAGATGTGAGAGCTGATTTTTCTTCCTGTGAACAAGTCAATGGGAGACTTCCAGTCGGCTTCTCCTTCGTTAGCGTTTTCAGCGGCGAATCGAGGCTCTCTTGGCGTTCGGTTTCGGAGGTAGCAGGCTGCTTCGATGATCTCTTTCCATAGTGAATGCGGTAGTCGAGAGGCAATCCTCATGACTCTCGCTCTCTCGGTAGAGATCCTCCTGACCTCTCGGCTCCACCATTCTGGTCCTGAGTGTTGGAAGCTGACATCGCCTTTGTCATCCCTTTCTTCCTCATCCAGGCTGAGATTTTCTTCGTGAAGAGCTCGCCGTCAGAGCGCACGACATTCGTCTTAAATCCAAAGCGAGCGAGCATAAAGGAGGAAAAGTCTTTCAAGACAGCTCCGTGTTCCTTTGCCTTGTAGGTCTTCATGAAGTAGGGAAAGACCATTCCAGAGAAGGCGTCTGTGATAAACATCACACGGACGTAGTTCTCGTGGTCTCTCGCAAGGTCGGTCCAGTCTATCCAGATCTCGTAGCACGGCTTGTCTCTTTCCTCGTCAGGTGGACGGCGGGAGACTTGCCTTCTGACCTTCCCCTGAGCACAGTACTCGCATTCGACGGTTTTCGGCCCTTAATCCGGACCCCTTTGTAGGCCTAGCTTGTGCAAAGCCATTGGACCAGGGTGACCAAGACGGGCGTGCCAAAGCTTGCCGTCTCCTTGAGAGGCAGGTCGAGGATCTCTTGAGCCGGCTCTTCGAGCTTTCCTTGTCTCCTTCTTCGATGCCTGGAACGCACTGTTGAAATCCGGGAATTCGGTTTCCACGGGCTGGTATTCAACAACAAACTGCTGATATTTCCTCTCGGTGATCCCGATAGTCTGGCCCTTTCGGACTAGCCTCATAGGCTCAGACAGCGTATCCCAAAAGATCTGATCGTCGTCGATAAGAGTCTGCAAAGAAACCAGGCTCGATGAGAAACCGGGACAGTAGGCAACCTTCTTTAATCGGAGTGTTCGGTGGGAGCCGTCAGGCATCGTCGTTGCGACATTGACTCGCCCGAATCCTTCGATTCGAACGAGAGAGTCACCGGCGACGATAAAGTCATTCTTGGCCTTTTAAACGATCGGAACCGACTGAGCTTGTTGTTGATATGAAGAGATGCGCCGCAATCAAGGAGGGTTGAATTCTTAAGCGGATATTCCGATCCCCTTAGGCCAGGGACTCAGCTGAGAACACGAAAGCTGGGTTTGCTGAGCCCACAAGCCTTCCCCTCATCCTTGGTTGCTATTTCTGCATTTTCTTTCGAATATCTTCAATTCTCCTTTTCAGGACAGGATCGTCAGCGACTCTCTCGTGTCATCTTGAGATACCTTTCAGGGGCGGATTATAGCCCTCTGGTCTGGCTTCTTCGATAACCTGCCAGCAACCCTCGAGCTCGTGTCCCTTGCGTCTGCAGGCAAGGCAGGGATCTCTTTGAATATGGCTCCTTTCCAAGGGCTCTCTGTCCAGCTTCTTCTTCTTCGCTGGCGGTACTTCGTCCGCATCGTCTGCGTCTGCTGCTGCTTTGTCCGCATGAAATGCGCCTCCTCTTTTGATAGCACCTCGGGGTTTTTCTGCTTCTCTGCTTTCGGCCAGATGCTTCACATCTCGCACGACTCTCTCAACAGTCCATTGACTCTCCGTCGGAGCTTGGGCTGCAAGAACGGCGGCGACTGCGGCCGTTGCTGCAGCGGCCATCGCGGCTACTGCAGCTGCTGCCGGATTGTGAACAACGGGGTTAACAGGAGCAGCAGCAGGAGGACCATATCGGTCGAAGTCGAACAGTTTCCTGGGTAGCCTCTGATTTTGCGTCGAGTATCCTGCTTCCTTGTTCGTACTGGTAGCCTAGGGAGTTATCCAGAGGCCTAATCAATGTGGCAACGTCTCTAAGCCACTGGCCCGTTTGGGCCTCCATTAGCTTATACTTATCGGCGTCAGACATTATGTCTTCCCATTTGTCGATCCAGGAGTCTAGATCCTTTGCGTTAAATCTCTTTAGGTGGGTCGAATACTTGGTCCTTGTGAGATTCATCATATATCCCGCTTCAGGGGCCGTCGACGCTTCTAGACGTTTAAACCACTGACGAATTGGAAGGTCTTCGTCGAAGGCGTTCTGCTTCGAGGATACCACTGATTCCTGCATCGCTATGCGAGCGTTGGTAACCAGTTTAGTCTCATCTTTATACTCTTTCCTCCTGATATCATAGTCCCGCATCGCGTCGTTATAATCTCTCTTCTGAACGGCAGAGAGGTCAGCGAGTCTAACAGCATCAGGGCGTAGTGGCGGAATTCAGGTCGCTCAGGAGGTTCGAGGGGTCCTCGTTGGTAAAGATCAGGCTATGGATCGTCTTGTCAGTTCGATTCCTGAGCTCCTTCTCCATTTGTCCCAGTTGCTTGGTCCTGAGAGGATCGCTCGTGCAGGGGCGGCAGAAGACTTCGACATCTCGTTGATTTGAGAGTGGTTTTCGGTCGGAATGGAAGTTACAGGAACGTAGTTCCTCCCGGGCTCATGACTGTCACGAATAGTAGGGCCAAATAGGCATAAAGTTAGTATTTCAGAATCGTCCGGTGCTGCTCCATTTTCCCTTCTGTTCTCTGTGTCTGTTCCTTCCTTCCTCGCCCTTTATTCCTGGCCACAATCTCGATCTTCTCCGTCTGCCTCACACCTCCGTCAATCGTCGGGGTGGCGCCCCCACTTTTCCTAGGACACCGTCCCTGACGGCCGGGCTGACTGTCTCAGCCGACGCATCAGAAAGCAGGCCTGACGTCCTGGCTGACTGTCTCAGCAGGAGCATCAGCAAGCAGGGAACCTCTAGAGGTCCTACGAGCGGCTTCGCAACAGTTATGGCCAACAGGAAAGCGGGATGAAAAAGGACACAAAAGAGGGGGGGGAAAAAGGGGCAAACTTGTAGGCCAACCGAAAAGCAATCGTTCAAGACGAAAGAGGCAATTTTTCTAGCCAACGGGAAGCCGAGAAAGCTAGCGAATCAGAGGCGCGGATTCGGGGGGCAAAAAAAGCGCGGCATAGAAATCCTTTCGTTCCTCAAGGCATGGCGAATTTTTTTTCTCCCCGGGGAGGAACCCTAAGAACCTTTCGTCACTCGTTCCTCGTTCCTCAAGGCACTCGTTCCTCGTTCCTCAAGGCACCAAGGCAGGACTAACGTAATCTACCCCCTTCCTGGTCACACCCCCTACCTGCTCAAAAATTCCCCACCCAAGCGACCCGCACCTCATGGCGCGACCAACCGAACACAACAGACGGCAATTGATTCCAAGAGACAAACAAGCAAGTCAATTCAGACCTGTCTATCTATTACACGTCCGGGCATTATGTTCAAAAGACCTGCATTTACTACACCGTGGTGGTGCACGCCGTCTTGGGACGCACAGCTCTTCTTCTGTCTGCCGTCGGGCCTGCTCCTCGATAAGTTGTTGCCCTGCCTGCTCATCCTCCCTTGCCCTCAGTCGCCTAGCACGTTCCTCATCCTTTTCTCGCCGTCGCTTTATCCTAGCCGTGCCTTCTGCGACAGACAGAGCACCGCCATCACCAATATACTCGCGTCGTTGCTCTCCATTCCTCAGTGCCGCTGGTTTTCTGACCGAAGCTGTCTGTTTTCGTCGGCGAGCAGCGCGGCACTATGCATGGCCATTTGACATCCTTTGATGAGCTGGTTTATGGCTTGTGAGACCGGCGTGCCCGCATTTTCTGGCCGGCGCTGAAGAAGTCCTTCCACGTGAGTGGTAAGCTGGCTAACATTGCAAGGTGTCTTGTGGGCTTCCAAGCTTTTCTGGGGACTTGGAGTGTGCTTGTCGCCGTCATCGTTGGCATTGTCGTTGCCATTCCTGTCAACCTGAACTAGTAACCGTGACAGAACCCGGGTCGGATTGAATGGGAAAGGCCTGTGGCCATGAATCCACTTCGGATGTTCGACGGGAGAGCGCTTGTCGGCGGGCCTCGATGTACAGAAGCAGGAAGTCCTCTTTATCGATGTGGTTGACCCTGCGAGCATCTTCTCTTGAACATTCCGCCCATATATCGTTTTCAAAGGCGAAAAGCACCCGACATCCAGAGGCTGTAAGAGATGTGAGGAATGAGCTGGCATTTGGAGTACCACGATGGCATTGTCCGTACAGTACTTGTCGAACTCCGGCGTAACATGGCTGCCGTGCCCGTCGAGAATGAGAAGTCGGCGTGTTCCAACGGTACGGCGCCGTGTGTATGGGTCGAAAACTGCCTTCAACCAATGCAATCCAAGGTCGTCGGAAGTCCAACCTTTGTCGCTCACGGCGATCTGCCAGTCCTTGGGCACATCTGCCCCGTACCAGCTTGCTTGGTGCACCTTGCCCTGGAAGATGACCATCGCCGGCAAAGCCCAACCTTGGCAATTAATAGATTCAATTACGGTAACCCATTCTCGATTTCCTGGCTGCATGGCCATAGGCCGACCTCGCCGGTCAGACCGAGTAAGGACTCTTGCCGTCGCAATGACTCCCATTTGAAAACCCGTCTCATCGAAGTTGTAGACATCCTCATCAAGAATCCCCCATTTCTGTTTCGCCATTGCCACCCGATCGTACCATTCTTGCATTATCTTCGGGTCTTCGCATTTGGCACGTTGGTAATCGTATCGACGAGAGTATTTCGCCTTGATTTCGTCGTGGCGGCCAACAAACTTCCGCACCCAATTTTCGCCGACAGTTTCTTGGCCGCGCTCCGAAAGCAACAAGTTGGCCATGCGGCGAGTGTAGACCACTGTCGGCGGCATCCCTCGCTCGTCCATCGACAAGACCCATTGTACGAGGGCAGTCTCTTCCGTCGCCGTCAACTTCCGGTTGTTCATCTGCGCGTCGCGTCGGGGCCGGGCACCGCGCAGTCGAGCAGAGACTGTCGATTGAGGGACATCGTATGCCGTCGCGGCCTTGTGGGCGCTGTCGAATTGGCCTTGCTGATAGGCCTTCACGGCGAGCAGGACCCGTTCTTCGCGTGGAATCGATTGGTCTCGAATTTCCGTCATGGTGGTCGGCCTGTCTCGCCATGAGGTGCGGGTCGCTTGGGTGGGGAATTTTTGAGCAGGTAGGGGGTGTGACCAGGAAGGGGGTAGATTACGTTAAGGACTAGGATGCAAAGTAGAAGGGGTTCGTTGCTTGCAACGCGTGGACTGCGGAGGGATGACCAGATTGATCTCGCGGAGTGGCCATCAGAGCTCCGTCAGTGTGGCTGCCTTCTTGCAGAAGGGTCTTCGCCAAGGGAGGGCCAGATTGATCTCGCGGAGTGGCCTCAGAGCTCCGTCAGTGTGTAGAGGCTTGAGTGCCTAAGGAGGGCTGAAGAAGCCTGTGACACTCCCACTCGATTAGAGGCTGAGCAGTGTGGTGCTTCTAATCGGACTTCTTGACACATAGAGAGTCCCGGAAACGGAGGAAGGCATCTCGTGGCAGGGCCTTGGTGAGTCCATCAGCAGGCTGCTTGGTGCCTTCGATCTTGATAAGGCTGACGGTCCCTTCTGCAACCTTCTCTCGGATGAAGTGCCACTTAAGAGAGATATGCTTAGTGCGAGAGTGGTGGTGAGGGTTGTTGGCCAGATCTATAGCGCCCTTGTTGTCCTCGTGTATGGCTGTTGGCCCAGCCTGTGTGGGTGGCATAGGTCCTTCATTAGGGAACGCAGCCAGATGGCCTCCTGGGCTGACTGGGTCAGGGCCACATATTCGGCTTCTGTGGATGAGAGCGTGACGCAGGGCTGCCTCTTGGAGGTCCAGCTGATGGCTGCGGAGCCGAGGCTGTAGAAGAAGCCTGACGTGGATCGTCGGGTGTGCAGGTCCGCCGCGAAGTCCGCGTCAGTGTAGCCTTGGATCGGCTGCAGTGGTCCCTCGAGGACTAGCACGGAGTCAATGGTGCCCTTGAGATATCTCATGATGCGTTTCACAGCTGTCTGGTGCTGGGGCGTTGGGTTGGCAAGGTGTCTGCAGCAGGCGCCAACGGAGAAGCAGATATCGCTCCTAGTGCCGAGCATCGCATACATCAGTGAGCCTACCCTCTTGGCATAGGCGGCCTGATACTTGGGAGGGCGTGCCAGCCTTCTGCGGGAGGCTGGAGCGGATCTGCGGCCAGGGGTGTTCGCTGGGTTGCAGTCTGACATGTTGTAGGTTCTAAGGATCTTTTCGATGTAGGCTCGCTGGGACAGTTCGATCCGACGCCTGGCCCTATCTCTAGTGACCTTAATGCCTAGGTAATGGGAGCAGGGACCTAGGTCAGTCATCTGGAAGCGTTTGCTGAGGGCATCCTTGATCCGTTGGACCTCCCGAGGACAGGCTCCAGTGAGAAGTAGGTCGTCGACGTAGATTGCGATGATGCTCTTGCCGCGGACGAAGACGCTGACGTCTGCCGCAATGGGCCTGTAGCCTAGTGTCTCAAGAAACTTGGCGATGGTCTGGAACCAGATGCGAGGCGCCTGCTTGAGCCCATAGATGGCCTTCTTGAGCCTGCAGACGCGGCCAGTGCCGTCTTCGAAGCCCTCTGGCTGCTCGAGGTAGACTTCTTCGTCGATATCCCCGTAGAGGAAAGCGGTCTTGACATCCATTTGCTCGATCTCTAGGTCTTCAGCGGCGGCTATGGCAAAAATTGTTCTGTAGCTTTCTGGCCTGACCACTGAGGCGAAGGTTTCGCTATAGTCGATGCCTTCCAGTTGCTCGTAGCCCTTTGCAACGAATCTGGCCTTATGGCGGACAATTTTGCCGTCAGTCCCTCCTTTCAGCCTATAAACCCACTTCCCTCGCAGGGCCTTCCTGCCTGGCGGAAGGTCAGTGAGCTCTCAGGTCTCATTGACCTGCAGGGACTGGATTTCGTCAGCCATAGCGGCGTGCCAGTGCTTGGCGCTGTCTGACTGCATGGCCTGTTTGAAGGTAAGGGGCTCGTGGTCTTCCCATTGCTGTGAGATGGCCATAGCCATTGCGTAGGCGTGATCGAAATTATAGCCGTAGCGCAGAGGGGGAGCTCTTGGTCTGGTGGACCTTCTGACCGACGGCCTGATCGGGTCAGCGGCGGCATGGATGGTTGAGTAAACAGATGGTTCGGGGCTTGTGTCTTCCAGCAGGTCTAGCAGGACACTGTCGTCTCCATACGACACCATGTTGTCTTCAGAGCCGTCAGACAGGTCTGGCGTGGAATCTGGGGTTTGACTATCTTCAGGCTCGGGCGAGAGCGCTGTGGAGGTTGCTGGTGTGTAAATCGGCGTTGTCTCGGCCGTTGTATCGTTGCCGTTGCGGAGTGTCCGAGGCGGGCGTTCGGCTTGCTGGCCTTCCTCCTGGATCAGCTGGTCAAGGCTTTGACCAGTCTTGGACCTCTTGGGTTGTCTCTCGGAGACCGCAGGCTTGGCGATGTGTTCGACAAAGATAACGTTGGGAGACACGAAGACCCTGTTGTTGCTATCAAGCAGGACGTAGTTACAGTGCCCCTGGTACCCTAGCATTCTGCACGGGATACCCTTAGGCTGTAGCTTCCTGCGTTTGGCCGCTGGTAGTAGTGCCCAGGCCTTTGATCCGATGACTCGAAGATGGGTAACATCAGGTTCCTCGCCGTGCCAGGCTTCGTACGGTGTGATAGGTGACTTGGCCGCAGGGGACATATTGCGGACGTAGGTGATGCTCTGGAGCACGTAGGGCCACCATTTGCGCTCGAGGCCCGACCGAATTAGCGTAGGATTGAGCTTCTCACTTAGGACCCTATGGAAGACCTCGATAGCGCCGTTTTGCTGGTGCTGTTCCGTGGCGGCGTAGATGACCTCGATCGCCTTGTCGGTGCAGAAGGCGTCTAGCAGCTTGGAGCGATTCTCACCTCCCAGGTCCATCCGCACGTAGAGGCACCGCCTGGTAGGCGTCTCATGCTTCTGAAGGAACGCCTAGAGGATTAGGAAGAGGCTGTCTTTGGTTGCCACGCTAAAGGTCCATCCGTACTGAGTGTAATCTAGGATGACCACCCAGTATCTGCTGCCGTCGTATCCAATGTCTGGAAACGGCCCACAGATGTCAATGTGCAGGCTTTCTAGCGGCCGGGTTCCCTTTCGAATAGAGTGCCTATGCGGTCCTTCCTTGATCTTGCCAATAGCGCAGGCCTCGCACGGGTCTTGTGGCGCTTGGGGTCGCAGTCCAGTGGACATCCCTTGCAGCCTCTTGATGTTGCGCTCGCTGAGGTGGGCCAGTCTCTCATGCCAGATGCGTAGATTAGGATCTTGGACCTGCGAGGTGATCAGGGCAGCTGGATCGCTGCTGACGGCAGAAGGGTTGCTATGACGCCTGATTTCATCAGTAGCTTCGTTCCAGAGGGTCAGGTCAGGATCCTGGGTGCGCAGGCTAGCCAGTGCAGCGTTGATGTCTCTGTTTGGCTCGTCAATCACATAGACACCATTAGCCACAGTGGCCGTCAGCACGATCTGGCCGCCTTTAACGATGGCGGCGTGCTCGCCGTTGCCAAGGATCCAGCACCCCTCCTTGCCAAGGGCTGCGACGGACACCAGATTGACGCCTGCGTCAGGGGCACAGAGGGCGTCTTGGAAGGTAAGCAGGTGGTCTTTTCCACAGACCTTCACTGGCAGGTCATATGTGCCGGTGCCCAGGGGAAGGAACTGGGCCCTTGGCCCTGTGTAGGGAAGACCAGTGTAGGGAACAAGGGACCCGAATTTGCTTCGGCGGCAGAAGATGTGCTGTGAGGCGCCTGTGTCGAGGATGTGGATCTGTGAGAGCAGCGTATGCTGAGCCGCCAGTGCTGCCGGATCCAGATCATCACACACTCCCACTGGATTGGCAGCACCAGGAGGGGCGAAGTGTATAGTGCATGAGAAGGTGAAACGGGGCATAGCGACGTTGGCAAGAGCCTGTGACTGTGACTGTGGTTGGTCATTGGCTTGGCCTTAACCTAAGAGAAGAAGAAGACAAATTAATAAGGGAATTACTAGGGAGCCCGTCTCTTAAAACTCTTGCTCGTCAAAAGCTTTAAAATTGAGTAGATTCTGTATAAGTGAAGTTGGTCCAATTTGTATGGAGCGGCAACATTTTTGCGGAGCATAAGGGGGGGGTGAGCAGAAGGGGGGGTAAGCATGGTACTTGGGGGATACCGATTTCGATGTAGTGGAAAAGAAGGCCCGAAGAGACGGGACGATGTGGGATGCGGTGCTCCATTTAGTGCAGTTAGACAATATTACTTGCAAATTTCATGCATCTTGTCGAGTGGTGGGTGCTAGCACGGCTAAACAGGGTCGTCGGTGGGTATTGAAAACGGACCGGAGCCTATGACAGCGGTAGCCGCGCCCAGGGTGCTGATCCAGAATCCAGACGTCTCAACAAGCAGTCAGTTTTCAAGCAGTACTGATTACTGATTGATAAGGTTAGGCATACCGGTAGGAGCTAAGCGTTTTTCGTGACCAGCACGAGGCAGTCTTTCTCAACAGCCTATAATAGAAGCCCCAATATGTCAATGCACCATGGCCCGATGGACTGAGATCCCTCGCCCTCTAGCTCTCTATGGCCAGGCCCCGTTGGCTTGCTGAAGCCAACACTGCTGGCATTAAGTTCAGCCCCCGATGAGGGGGTTCTGTCACCCTGTCTTTGTCAAAAAGGAGGTACATATTCTCGTCACCTCGTAGATACAAACAGTCTCGCTTGGAGCACAGAGGGGGACCTGGCTGCAGTGTGGCACGAGTCCTGTATCCCAACAGCCGGATGATGGATCCATCTTGTTGCTTTTTGAATCCATTTGTAGCCTCACCCATGACACTGCGACCTCGGACATGAGAGAAAAAAGACAGTCGGCCGGAATTCCCCCCCACCCCTTCCCTGCGCGTATGTACGGGTGGCCATGACGGCGCCGTTTCATCGTCGTCATTCCGCAACCGTCGTCGACTCGGCCTTTGACGTCTTTTTTCCTTCCTCTTCCCCTCCCTCTGTACTTCTCCCTCTCTCACACTCGATTCCCCACCCTCTTTCTCTTCCCCATAACTTGAGCTTGCCGGTTCGCGGACCGCCCTGGGCCGCCTTTTCCATCTTGACCCGTGCGATCCGCCGCCGCCGAGTCCTTTTTGCTAGTTTGGCGGGACGGTCTGCCGCGGTCCGTTTGGTTTCCGGAGTCCCGTTTCGTGTTTCCGTCGGCCTATTCGCAGTCTCTTGGGCCTCGTCACGGACCTCGTTGTGGTGAATATCTTACCTCTCACCCCCCCCCCTTTCTCCCCGAGAAGGAGGCTCTCCCACGACGTCGGCCTTGATTCACCATTTGCCTCTGTCTTATATACGTCGTCGGCACGTGTGTGTGAGACAGTGTGTGTGTGAGCGAGCAGGACCATGGCGGCAGCCGAGTTGCCGACCACGGGCGTGCGGCGTTCCACCTTCGAGGAGGACACGACCGACGTCGAGCGAGAAGACGGCTCCGCCAAGCCCCATGATGAAAAGACTGCGGCGAAGACCGGCCCCCGGGACCAAGAGGATCGGGCCGGACCCGACCAAGACCCGGCGTCAACGGCCCGGCCACCGGCAGCGGCAGCGGCAGAGGCCGGGACAGACTCGCCCGAGAGCGGGCGCAAGGGCATCGAGACGTTCCTCGTCATGTTCGCCCTCTGCCTGGCCCTCTTCCTAGCGGCGCTCGACATGACCATCCTGGCAACCGCAATCCCCACCATCTCGAGCCACTTCGACTCGAGCCTCGGCTATGTGACGGCCCAGCACCGTCACACCCCCTTGCATACATGACCCACATGTTGTTGAGCCAACGGCCCACACGTACGGAAGGCATATTTAGGGAGAGGACACCCAGTTGTGTTGTTCTGTTCTCCTTTCTATTCTTCAGAGCAGAATCTTCGTAATAGAGTCCACAGCCTTCTGGCTCAGTCCGTGACCGTCACACTATTCTGCTCTCTCACAACCATGCCATCGCTGACCAGCGATTCATAAATACGCCACGACCAAACCACGCCATCGCTGCCGAGCGATTCAAAAATACGTCACGACCGAACCATGTTATCGCTGCCGAGCGATTCATAAATACGCCCAAGATCGAACCATGCCATCGCTGACGAGCGATTCATAAATACGCCACGACCAAACCACGCCATCGCTGCCGAGCGATTCAAAAATACGTCACGACCGAACCATGTTATCGCTGCCGAGCGATTCATAAATACGCCCAAGATCGAACCATGCCATCGCTGCCGAGCGATTCAAAAATACGTCACGACCGAACCATGTTATCGCTGCCGAGCGATTCATAAATACGCCCAAGATCGAACCATGCCATCGCTGACGAGCGATTCATAAATACGCCACGACCAAACCACTTCATCGCTGCCGAGCGATTGATAAATACGCCCACGACCGAACCACGCCATCGCTGCCGAGCGATTCAAAAATACGTCACGACCGAACCATGTTATCGCTGCCGAGCGATTCATAAATACGCCCAAGATCGAACCATGCCATCGCTGCCGAGCGATTGATAAATACGCCCACGACCGAACCACGCCATCGCTGCCGAGCGATTCATAAATACGCCCAAGATCGAACCATGCCATCGCTGCCGAGCGATTGATAAATACGCCATGAACAAGACCACGACCAAGACTAAGACAAGGAAGCAGCCAAGAGATCAGGTTCAAGAATTGTGCGGCAGCTTTACGGCGGTTCCACGACGAATATCCCGAGGCACCAGGACCGCCTGTACGATTGGGCAATTGGCAGAATGGCTGCTAGCAGCAGCGGAAGACAGGTGGGCAGAGAGTCACGACGATGACAACAAGGCTGTCAGCCGTGGGTATGAGCGACGCCGACGGCGACGACACTCGTGAGGAGCCATCTCCACCGTTGGTGTTCGACGGCTTTAAGGGGGGGGTAGTGTGACGGCCCAGCACCGTCACACCCCCTTGCATACATGACCCACATGTTGTTGAGCCAACGGCCCACACGTACGGAAGGCACACGTACGGAAGGCATATTTAGATAGGGATCGAAAGGAGGAACAATGCCGCGGAAGAGCAAGAACAGCACCAAGCGCAACTCGAACCAATTCGAGTTGCTCGATGACGAGGAAGACGGTACGAACGACAATGTGGCCTGTAGCATCGTGGCCAATTCGACAAGCGCGGCCGACGCGACAAGGACCAGCGCCCGCGGTCGCCCTCTGAAACCGACGCTGCAATTCGACCCTGAACCGCGCCCATCACGAAAGAAATCCGCCGTCCCGAAAGCGAAACCGACGAATGCCGACCCCAATGCCAACGAGGATTCATTGGCGCGAATCGAAGCTCTCCTGAAACGCGTCGAGGAGCGGGCCGAAAGGGCGGAGAAACGCGTCGAGTCTCTGGAAGAGTTCATTCGAAACGAGCTCTTCCCACGCGTCGCTAGCCCTCCGGAGTCCGCCACTCCAAGTGCGCCTCATCAGCAACAGCAACAGCACCTGCCACTTTCGCCACCACCCTCTCCAGTCCCAGGGCCACTGCCTGGCATTGGCTTAGACGTGAGTCGGGTCCTAGACAGCGACATAAAGGAAGGCAACGCCGGCACTATTCGTCGGCGCGCGAACGCTGCCCTCGAGAAGTTGGTGTGACCTGTCTGGGCGTCAATTCTAAGGAAAAGGGCGTTTTCGGCTTCTCTTTCGAGAGACGGACGTCGATAAAGTACGGCAGAACGACACCTGGATAAAGACACACTTCGACAAGGGAACGCTATATGGGGAACAGTGGTACCCTCTACGGGTTGATAGAGCCCATCGTGGGGTTGCGACGGATGATATCGGATGCGCCGTGTTTGAGCGGATGAACGGGGTGAAAGTGCACAAGATGCGATGGCTCGGGACAGCGTCTGTCGACAAGGAATACCGCTCTCTAGTGGTACACCTGGATAAGAAAGAGGAGGTGGACAGGTTGCTTGCAAAACGAACGGTTGAGATGGCGAATGGCGAGTGTGCATACACGCGACCATTCGTTCAGGGACTTCAACCAGCGAGATGCTACCGTTGCCACCTCTACGGACACTTGCATTATCGCTGCAAGGCGCCAGCTCCGATCTGTGGACAGTGCGCCCAACCGGGCCATTCTGCGTCGACTTGCACCTCGGACGTTTTTAAGTGTGCAGCGTGCGGTGGAAAAGGAGCACACAAGGCTACAGATCCTGGGTGCCCGGTATATCGCCGGGAACTCGCCAAGTTACGACCGTCGCCCTACTAACATACATCCTCTGTCTTAACCTTTTCTTCAGCACAAACCCTCTACCTATACCTGTGGTTGCCCCACAGCTGGTAGGTTAGCTACACCGGACGGCTAAAGGCAGGTGGACTCTTCGTCAAATGCGGCGGAGGAGAGTGGTCTGTACCTCATCAGACAGGCTCCAGAATTGGAAAGGGACAGGTCAAGTGAGCAAGAGACGGATTGAAGGATGTAAGAGAAATTTAGGCATTAGATCGGGACGAATTCCTTGGGCTCGGAACCGAGTATTGGACAGCTCTAGATTAGGCTTAGCGAGTCTGACGCAGTGCCTCTGACTATTGTCAATGGCGGAATATATTAAAAAAAAAGGCATATTTAGGGAGAGGACACCCAGTTGTGTTGTTCTGTTCTCCTTTCTATTCTTCAGAGCAGAATCTTCGTAATAGAGTCCACAGCCTTCTGGCTCAGTCCGTGACCGTCACAGGCTATGTCTGGATCGGCAGCGCGTACCTGCTCGGGAACGCCACCTTCGTGCCGGCCTGGGGCAAGATCTCGGACATATTCGGCCGCAAACTCGTCCTCATTAGCGCCGTCGTTATCTTCTGGATCGGCAGCCTGCTGTGCGCTGTCAGCAATAGCATAGGCATGCTCATCGCCGCGCGCGCCGTCCAGGGCGTCGGCGGCGGCGGCACCATTGTTTTTTGAATTGCGCTACCCAAAGGGGGTGTTACCCAAAGGGGGGTGGGGAATGGTATTTTGTAAACAGCTTCGATCGAATAGAAAGGCACAAATTGTACGGCCGAAGAAGTAGAAATACACCAATTTGGTTCTTCCCCCCCCCTTGTAACTTGACGAGCTCGTCGAGCCATAAGAGAGCCTCCAAGCAGCGGCATTCCGGATGGTCGGCCGGACGCCCGACCGTGAACATCCTATTGATATAGTTGACCGTTCTGAAAGGTTCCCCGCAAGAGTTCCCATATCCAGCAAACAGGGGTACATATGGCGGTGTCACTGGATCGCATAGCCGAGCACCATCTCTCTGACATAAGGTCCCTCGCAGTCAGCTCGGGACGATACGAAGTGGTCGCCGTTGGCCGGGACTCTGCAACGGTAGAGAGGGACGGATCCCGGTTTCTGTCTGGTGTAGATGTAGCCGACGGGTCCCAGGGGAAACTGGCCCTCGCATCCAGATTGCTGTGTCAGGAGGGAGTGACCGCCCACCTTACACTCGTAAAGCATGACCGTGTCCGGCTGCTCATCACGGAACAGACGCCAAGTCGACTCGGAGGTGAATCCGGGGGGCAGCATCCTCGAGGAGGCGACGTGGCCCCGTTTGGGGTTGTAGCCTCTGCGCAGCACGGTATGGGGCAGGTCCTCGAAGCCGCAGGCGAGCCGGGCAGGGGAGATGTCGTTGCGGTTCGCAAGCGCCCAGGTTGCCCACGCGGACTTGGCCGAGCCGTCGGCCTTGCGGAGACCGAGCTTGAGGCCGCCCTCGTTGGCATTGTCCTGCATGCGGTGATATATATAACTTTCAATGCCAGGTGTGCCGAGCACGTTGCGGAATGTCTGGCACACCGAAGTGTCCTGGGCCGCCTCGCTGGACTGGTCGCCAGAGTTGATTCCGTTCTCGGTGAGCTGGACGGTCCAGGCATGCGGGTTGCTTGGGTATCTTTGCCTCAACCAACCCAGCAGGATGCCGATGTTACCGAAAGAGACCTTGGGATAATCATCTGCGGAAAAGACGGGACTGAATAGGTTCGGGGGGTAGGCGTGATAGGCAACCCGCCATTGGCGGTTCCCAGCTCGGGCGGCTAAGCCGTCAAGTACTGTCATGCCGGACAGACGGCCGTGAGCCGCGTCGTCGAGTTCCTTGCCAAAGAAGTTGTCCAACGAGGTCAGAACCTTGGCAGTCGGCTGCTCGACGACGATGCGGTCGTAGGCGGCGTTGTAGTTGGACCCGATCTGGTCGAGCCATTGATTCGTGTCACATGGTACGCCCCGGCCGCAGCCAATATTGAACCAGTCGTTGCTGTTGACTTCGTTGTTGATGACAAAGTCGGCAATACGCCCATGCCCGTGAAGTCCGTCGTAGCGCTGGGCCAGCATGCCGGCGAAGCGTCCAAAGTCGTCGGGATTGTTGGGCACGCAGAAGATGTCCATTCCCGGCGCCGCTGGTGAGCAGGGACGGCCCTGGCGTGCCCATTCCGGAGTGCCGTAGAGTATAGCGGTCACGACGAGTCCACGATCGGTCCAGTCTTTGATGGTCGAGTCCACCTGGGTCGGAATAGTGAAGCAGCGACTGTCGTATTCTTGCTCGTTGGCGGCGCAAGGGGTAGACTTGATACTCGGCTCCCATGACAACCAGAGCAGGTTCATCGACACACCACCAGCGTTGTTGCCGGAAAGTTCATCCTTGTTAGGCCAGAAGTCAGGCTGTATTCCCTTGACGTGATAGTTGGACCTGGTTGGGTACGGCAGCGGAGACAATCTTGTAACGAGAGCCAAGGCGACGGAAGGGAGCATAAGAGTAAATATCGCTGCCGTGAGGCATTGCAGCGACCTTGCCATAATGCCTAGTAGTCGAAGATGATGCTATTTCGTACAAACAATGATGTCCGCGTAGATGTGCAAGTTAAGAGTAATTAAGAGTAAGGCGCTGCTGAGAAGCGGGGCCAGCCATCGTAGTGAAAATACGACCCTGCTTATTACTCCGTACCCCGTAAGATACCTGGGTTGCCGCCGAATACGCCGTCACAGGAGTAAGCAAAGCTGTAAATTTATGTGCTACAAAGGCTGTGCTTGGAGGATTGCAAGCAAGCCAGCAATTCCCCTTATTGAATCGTCATCCAAAACGCTCCTGTCCGCTCCTGTGCATATGATCAAATGGCTCAGTTAGAGAAAACCCCATCCCCGTTGTTGCTGACCCATAAGAGAGCCAAATTGTCACATTGAGAGTTGCTGCAAGCAGGCGAATGTATGACCAGTCAATTCAATACTTCCTGGGCAGTCACAACCTGGCCAGCAAGCCGGGCAGCGTCAGCAGCCCGAGCAGCCATAGAGCCATCCGTGCGACGCCGGATATCATTGAGATCAAAGGACGCATCAAACATGATGCCATTCAACGTCTTGGCGCGCGAGACGGCGACGTAGGTGAGGCCAGACTGGAAATCGCGATGGGATATATCGGCAACAACCCATTCAAGCGTAGCACCCGTGCCTTGTGCACAGTGATGCTATATGCGATTGTCAAGGGAAACTGAGTGCGAGCAGGGCATACTACCCTTGATGAAGTCCCGCCAGGAGCGAAAGATGGGCTGGACGTTGGCTAGCTCAGGGTCGTCGAAATAAGGGGGGCCGGTATAGCGATCGAAGCGGACCATAATGACAAAGGGATGATGAGCTTGAGGATCCTGTACGTGATCCTCATAGGCAAAGTGTCGGATCTCACCACGAGGCACGCACGAGGGACAAGTCGGATGTGAAAGCTGATCCCGCAGAGAAGGGGTAAAAGAGGTCTCTGTTACAAAAGAGAGTAAAGAACGTTGGGTGTCCACTGACCCAGCTTAAATAGCTGTCAGGAGGGACCCTGATATCTGCATACACGGGAACCAAGCATCCTCCTTCCAAACAGGGTCCGCTCGATGCGACACAAAGTCATATACGGTCCCCAGTGCACCATTAACAAGGCCAACATCAGTCCAGACGTTCTCAGTCAACATAACTCTTGCCCCAATGCAAATGGGTAACTGGTTATGTAAGTTGCCAGCAGTCATAGAGTCAGCTTCGGCGGCTTTTGGACCGACATTTGTTGCCCGAACCTGTCTGCAAGGCACAGCTAGGCGTTCCTTATGATCCCTGTTGAACTCGCGGACCTGGGCATTCGTTGTGTAGATGCGTACTGCCCCGTCAAAGCACGTAACCTCAGCTAAGGTCAGATTGGCCTGGACGCGGGTGCAGAGCAGCTCCCAGTCTAGGACAGTAGGAGCATCTATACGTAGGCTCTGAAGAGCAGTGCGAAAAGGAGCCTGCTCTTCGCCCTGCTGACGCAACACTTGTCGTAACACAACTGTCTTGTCAAATGCCAGGTAGGCATTGCGGCCATTCTATACCGTCTCGTTGAGACCTATAGTAACAACGCAGCTAATAAGCGGAAGGATATTGCCGAGGCTACCCAACGTGACCATCCTGAGGTCCTAATCAACGATCGTGATGTAGGATGCATTCAGCGCCAGCTTCGTCTTCAACACTACGGCGCTACTACATCTACACAAGCATTCCTCGACGTACTCCTCGCTGCAAAGGCCGACGGGGAAGTCGCCTTCTTTGCAGTTGACCGTAGCCCTAATGGCAAGATCTGGAGGATATTCTGGATATATTCTGACGGTCTTGCTGACTGGAAGCGTAACCCGGAACTCCTTATTATGGATAATACGTACCTTGTCAACCGTTTCAACATGCCACTCCTGCAAATCATTGGGACTACGGGACTGCACAAGAGCTATAGTGTAGCCTTTGGTATTGCCGCTAAGGAAGACGAAGGCGCCTTCAACTGGATTCTCTCACAACTCTACGATACCGGCCGACGGGCTAGTATTCCTCCTCCAGGCGTTATCACTACTGATTTTGATATGGCCCTCAAGAACGCCCTTTCCTCTGTTTTCCCCTATTCACAGCAACAACTCTGCGTCTGGCACATGATGAAAAACGTGATCCTACATATCAAGAAGAAGTGGGTTGGTAGCCTCGAAGGTACCGAGATTATAGGAGATAGGGCAGATGAAGCAGACACTCGCCTCGGCGCCGAGGCTGCCCTCGCAAACGACCGAACGAACGCCAATGCTATCGAGGACCGACCGATCGATCATACCGCCGAGGCACAGATACAACCTGCCTCCCAGCTAGCGGACCAATATCTCGATGAGGAACGGGATGAAGAGGGAACCCAATCCCGCCGCCGCTGCCCCAACGGACCTTCAAGCATACAGCTGACGGTATCCGTGATGCCTGGGCTTCAGTCGTTAGGGCACGCACGCCTGAGGAATGTAGTGAGCAGTGTGAGGGAACGATCATGTGACTTTCATACTTTATGAAATGTCTCACTTGTATTCAATGTAAATAGCGAAAGTCAGAGTCTTCCTTAGGAACCTCTTTCTCTCTTTGTAGACAATCACTTTATCCAAGTCGCACTCGACCTTGTTCGTGCACTTGTACCGTCACAAGCAGTGGAATATCCTATGTATAGAGTTTTCCGACCAGCCAGGTAACCCTAGCCCTATTTACCGTTATATTAATATTTATTGCTAATTACTTAGCCCTCGTTGACTACTTCCATACAGCCTACTATCCGTGGCGTGCCCAGTTTTGTAGGTATGCCATCCAACAGCACCGTAATTACGATATCACGGTAACTTCTCGTGTTGAAAGCACACATCACGAGCTCAAGAGTATCTTACGCCATCGTTTTATCGATCTCTGGCAGCTACAGGTCTCTATCCGTCAACTTGTTGACCAACGGCAGAAAACGCATCTCGAAGCGCTTCAAGACGAGTTCACGAAGGTCCAGGTCGAATGGACTAAATATCCTATCCTCAAGTCACTATACCGGAAAATTGGTTGGCATCCAATAAAGCAGATCTTCAAGCAAGTGAAGTTAGCTACAGAAGAGTTATCCGATAAACGGGGCCAGCGGCCAACGGATTGTACGGGTGCCTTCACGACCCAATGGGGTCTGCCTTGCCGGCATACAATCCGTGATATCCTTCAAGCTGATGGCGAGGCTGCTGAAATTTCCCTCGATCTTATTGATACCCACTGGCTATTGTATGGTCCTACTGTAAGTAATACTACTAAGCCCCTATCTAGCTATATACTAATTTACAGGCAGCATGAACTACGGCAGTATATCGAATCACGACATGAGCCCGATCCCGATATTGTCCAGCCTCGCCGGCGTGCGAACAATAGGCCCGAGACATCCCCTCCACTAGAGCCATCGACTGGCCGGATCCTTAGTGCTTGGGAGCAAGAGGAGCATAGGGCTACAATACAGCTCGGGTCACAGCCAGCAGGGGCGCAGAAGAAGAAGAGGAAGGGCACAGGCACTACTGTCGTGACCAAGAGGTCGAATACGCTTGCTTCCGTGAGCAGCCGGGTTGACGATCTTGCCCAGCAGATCGGTGATTTCATCAAGTCGCAAGCAGCCGCAACGCCGGCGCCGTTATCACAGGTACCCTCACTTCCACAGGCGCCGCCGGCATCACAAGGATCCTATGTGATGCCACCGCCTCCCTCGGCACAGGCACATCACCACGGCTTCATGTGGGCACAGCCGCCGGCACAGTCTCACGGGACGGTAAGGGAGCATTTCCAGCAGCAAGGGGATCAGGCGGACACGGCACCATGCAATTCTAGCGGGCGGGCGGTCCCCAAATTCGTTCCCTATGTGCCTCGCCCTCCGCCGCGTCGGACGGATCCTTCCTCACAGTCACAGTCACAGTCACAGAGGTAGGCAAAGGCGGCCAAAAATGCACCTTCCGCTGCTGTGTGCATATTACATACACATCGGAAGATCGGTCGGGCCGGGCTTAGTAATAGTTTCAATTGAACGACTCCAAGGGACGCATCTTCCGGCGTTGGTGATCTTTGCAGATTGAATGCATCCTTCGTACTCCGTACGCTGTCGTGTAATCGGGGCGGGCGACGCGCGCGCCAAATTGTGGTGGCGGGTCCCCCTTCCTAATGGGGTTTAAGTCTCCGTGCATGATTTGAAATCGTCCGTGCATGATTCACTACTCAACACGCACGGCGACTTTGGCGGGTCCTTTTCCAAATGGGGCTTAAGTCGCCGTGCGTGTTTAAGTACTCGTTTAAGTAGGTACTCAAAAAGCTGGTGGGTACTCGTCCCACAGACCCACGTAAAGTGGGTCCTCACCACCTGTCTGTGTCAACCACCTGGCTGTGTCACTTGACGGCTTCAACGCCAACTTAATTTAATAATAAAACGGCAAAAAAAGTTAAAAATTGATGCATACGATAATTGAATACTGGCCGCAATAGTCTACCTATTTTTGACTTTTGTAGCTTATAAAGCTGATCGTTGGGCTTCTTTTTCGGCTTTCTTAGCCGCCCGGGCTGCCGTCGCTCCTCGAGCTCAATCGCCCTTTTCTCCCTCTTTGCTTCGCCAGTACCAACTTTTCTGCTTTTGCAATGCGAATATCTTCCTTTGACTTCGCAATAGCCTCCTTCGTCTACAGTCAGTACTCCACCGCTTTGAAGGTGGCGGTTCTTGTATTTCTTCCGGCCTTGGCGTTGCTGCTCGGCAAGCTTGGTATTGTACAGATCGACCATCGTTTGCTTTAACTCGTGGCCTTGGGAGATTGCACCTTTAACGTAGCGTTGAAGGTTATGTACGAAGACCTCCTTCTCAATATCATCAATTGGGTCAAACTCAAGGAGACGTTGGCCAACTGATTCAAACTTCCGTACGGTATGGGGGGTACCAAAAGGGGATGAATACGGCTCTGCAGGTAGCTCTGTCGGCGGCGTCTGGTCCCGTACCTCTCTTTGAGTCTCTCGAGGATTGGCTTTGGATTGAATGGGTGGATTCCTGTTTTTTTGAATGCCGAGAGGATTGTAGACTCCTTGAAGGCTTTGACGCGGATTGATTGGATCATAGCGAGGAACTCCAGCTTGGTGATTTTACTCGCACCACTGCGAATAGCAAAATCGACTGCCCGACTGTGGTAATGTTTATACGGCTGAAATACCACGACGTCAAGCGGTTGAAGGAGATGCGTAAGATGCGGAGGCAATGCAAAGAGCACAATATTATGGGCTTCAGCGTACTCGATAAGGTCAAGGGTATGGTGGGAGCCGTGGCCGTCAAGGAGCAATAGCCTCCAAGCACCTTTGCTCTTTGCATGCTTATCGAAATGTTGAATCCACGCTAGATTGAGCTGATCGTTCGTAAATCCCGTTTCCGTAACACCAATAAGGGTATCGCCATCTAGCTCCTTGATGCCGTACCACTGTTCGAGGTGGACCTTGCCGGATAGGATCAAAACGCAGGGATGTATCGACCATCGGCAGAAATCGCTTCAACGGCTGTTGCCGACTCCCTGTTTTCCTCAATACCAAAGTATTGCGATCGCCTTGATTTCGTGACGACAACTTGGTCCCTGCCAATACCAATACGGAAGCCCGTCTCGTCCATATTCCAGATATCAGCCGGGTTAATCCCGTACGAGGCAATCGTCTCGTGGAGCTTCTTGAAGTACTCGGTAACGTGCGGGACTGATTCGGCAAGCTTGCGTTGGTTATCGAGTACCTTTTGCTTCATAATATGATATCCCTTGCGTTTAATAAAACGGGATATCCAGTTTTTGCCAACAAAGCATTGGGAGTCGAAGGGTTCGTTGCGGGTACCATCAGGGCCGACCGTGGAGCTTAGAACCCGATTTGCTGCATCGCGTAATAAGTCCTTCCGCACCGCAAGTCCTATACGCTCAAGACGATCGATATACAGATCGATTGAGTCCTCTTGAGCTGGCGATAGCCTCGTATGCGTTGCTTTATGGCCGCTGCGAGGTTGGATGCCGTGAAATCGCAAGCGGAGTCGTTCGCGTGGAACCCCAAATTCCTTAGCCGCAGCGCGAAGGGACATATTGGGATTTGCCTCAATGGCTTTAATAGCCTCGGCTACGCGCCTTTCAAGCGTAAGCTCTTTATTCTTCATAATGTGCCGTTGTTGAGGTCAAGATAGAGGCTTGAAGCGGTGAAGTGACACAGCCAGGTGGTTGACACAGACAGGTGGTGAGGACCCACTTTACGTGGGTCTGTGGGACGAGTAGTCAAGGCGCGATGGCTTTTGATCCTTGCTTAGCGCGATAATCCCTGTTAGTTTACTGCGAAACCAGCTAGCTCATCCGTGGCTGCATTGCTGACACCCAGTTCTAGACCTTTTTATGAGACAGCTTTTTGCTTGCGGCGTGGCTGCAGGGACTCCGCGCCATCCACGAAGCGGTTCCAACATTCGCGCAAGCTTCGGTTGTAAGTATGATAACGAATCCCTGTAGTTGGCCCGCTATTACAGAACGCGGATGTAGAAGTCCCTGCAGCCATGTGATGTTAGATCATCCGTCTGCAGAACAAAGAATACGTCCTCAGACCATCAACCCCGGCGACCTGGAGGTCATCAATATTCTAGCTCCCGGAGCCACTCGCAACACATTGAACCTCGCTCGACGGAGTAGGCACACTATAACTCGGTTCACCTCAAGCCAGGACAATATTCACGATGGCTCATCAGTTCGATCAGGCAACTATGGATTGGTTGAAACTCTGGCATCTCCGCATGGGTCATGCCAGCTTCGAGGCAATTGTGACCCTAGGGTCTGGGCAGGCAACAGGAATGAATCCGCCTGAAAACCTCCCCTCGCGATCTGAACTCGGTCCATACCTGGAGCGCCATCACTGCGCCGCTTGTTTACAGGTTTACGGGTCAGCATCGGGACCACGTCCAGATCAGCAATAGAAGAAGAGGGGGAAATTCGAAGAATGGCGACTGCCAGACGAGGCCCTACGAGCAGTCTATCTGCGGTGTAATTGTTGTTTGCAGAATCACTTTTCACATTTCCACGACGCGGCGGGGTGTGATTCGCCCTCATCAGGCGGCGGGCGCCCTTGCTTGGTCCATCGCCGAAGAACAAGATGAGTCGAGGACCGGAGGGACAGGGAACAAGTGCAAACTTAAGAAGGGAGTGGCAAGAGGATAGCGGGAGTGCGAGCGCAAGCAGAGCCACCGAGTGACAGAATTCATGCCTACAGTACGGATGGATGGATTTTATTTCGCCCGGAGAGAAGTCCCTATAGGGCCTTTATGTGACGGTTCTAGTGCTTGAATGAATGGCGGAGGCATGTTAATAATCTTGATTCCATACTTGTCGTTCCACCGAATCATCTTGATAATGTCGGCGGCGTTAGCGATGCCAATGTCCTCCATAAAGGTGGGGCCTCGCTTGACGTCGCCCGGCTTCGTCTTGTCCGGACGGTTCTTGGTGGCGTGCTCGGGCTGGGACGGGCCCTCAAAGGTACCTATGGTCGTGAATCGAATTCAGGCGACAGGTCCTTGAGGAGAACACCGGCGAGTTTGCGGCCCTCAGATACATGTTGAGACAAGCCTAGCCGCAAAGTCAGCTCTTGAGCGGCGGGTAGCGTACCAAACGGGCAGCGAGGCCACGATTCCGCACTCCAGGCGTTCTCACATAACCCAGCCGACCGCACCAGGGCAGAGGCAGTTGCTCACTGTTAACGGGAAGTAGCCTCCTGGCATCCTTCTCTTGGCCATCTTCGTCGAGCGGCGTTAGCCAAGTTCTTGTCGGCATCTGGGCCGCCCCCAGCAGTGCGTGCTGCGGCTGCTTCATGCTTGCCATCGGCATTGTCGGTACGGTGATCTTCCACCCCCGTTTTCGTGGACGCGGCTCCCGAGGGTTGACCGGCCAAGGCAGCCTCGGCCAGGACGCTACAGTCGGAGCTCTCGACGGCAAGGCGCTATTTCTTGGCCTCGTCCTGCTTTTGCTCTATCTGGCTGAGGTCGTGCATGGCGCGCTGTACGGACTCGCGCGCGCGCGCCGCTCGTTATCCTGGTCGTATTGTCCCGGAGCGGAGCGGTGCTCCTTACCTTCCAGCTATTCGTACTGGGCATGTCGGACTGGGGCACCTCGGGCTCGAGAGTAAAGCGGCGGTGGGGGCGGACGTGGCCCGGTTCTTTTCTGCTTCAGTGGCATGATTATTGTCGTTGTTATTGCTTCACTTTCTGGGAAGCGATACTTCTGGCAGGGGTCGGCCAGGCAGGGGGACTCTGCTCGCAGGGGCTTGGCTGGCCGCGGTTGTGATTGTGCCGCCGGTATGAGCCTTTGAACATGTGCCTTTGGACATATAGTAGCGGTTCTAGCCTATGGCGGAATAATGGTGAACTCAAGTGAGTGGTTGGCGGATGATTGGTACTGTAGGACAAAATTACCAGCTGTCGCACAAGAGAAGTTCGGGGGAGAAGGTTGGGTACAGAAAACGCGGGGTGTCGCTCCTAGACCCTTCCGCCGATCATGGGTGCCTGGGTTCCCGTTACCGTACCGATTCTGGCTTCACAACAGTGCAGCAGGTCCTCGTCTTGGGCGACTGACAGCACCCTCGCTTCTGGCTGCTTGGTAGTACTGAGCTGCAAGGGCTGCAACCCCTTCAACATAAGCAAAATCGTCTTCACTGCGGCCAGAAAGTGAGCTGGCGTCGAGTAGCATTGCTGCAGGCAGCAGCGGAAGGGTCTAGGAGCGACACCCCGAGTTTCCTCGCCCAACCCGTTCCCCGCAACTCGTCTCTACAACAGTTGGTAATCTGGTCATGCCAGCCCTCCGCCAACCACTGGACTTCACCATCACTCTACCGCGGGGTTGCAACAATTCTCCTCTCACAGACCAGCGTACCGGTATAACATGGAAACACGTTCTGACGAAGATAGCGCATGGTATGACCAGCGCGTCTTTCTCCTGCCAATCTATCCGAAATTGGTCATGGACGAACCGATCCGCTTGCTTGCAGTCCTCGTCGAGATCTCTGGCCGTGTTCGCGGCCGCCCCTTGGTCTTTGGAGACCCTGCAGGTGGAGTGGATCGTGCTACTATTGATCCGCGCTGCGGCAGTCCCCGACGTCGCCGTGATCAGCAGGCGATTCGAAAGGCTCCTCCTACTGAACAACTCGACGAGTGCCTCGATGATTTGCGACTTGCCGGTCCCGCCCTCGCCGCGGACGAACTGGCAGAGCTGGCCGACATCGCCTCCGTCGTTTTGTCGCATCAAATCGAGCTGGCGGCATATGATTGAGAAAGCGATCGACTGCGTTTTGTTCAGCGTCAGCCGTGTTGCCAACTCTCTGCCCGTCGCAGAGCAAGAGGTTGATAGGCCAAATTGGACATGCATTCCCGCCTCTGCGTCGCCTGCGGTCTCGTCGAAGTCGGCCGTCGCCATTTCGACATTGTCCTCCCCGAAGCCGGCCATGACCCTCCGCAACGCAGCGCGGCGGTCGCTTTCCCGGACCACGGTTATACTTTGTATGCCCTGGATCATCCTCTCCTCTCCTTCGAGGCACTCATCTGCTGCGACTTGGTGGCCCTGACCTGATTCTGCTGTGGCAGTGCGGCCCCGGAAAATACCCCTACATGCTTATCCATCTCGCCCTCGTTCGGGTACCACGGCGGCCTCCGGCTCGGCCGTCGAGCACAGCGCTGATTGTTGGAACTGATAGAGCTGTTGCATCATCTCCATGAGCTCCGGCGACTTGGCCGTTACCTGGTTCGGGTCCCATGCACCTCGGACATCGATCAGCCGCGTTGCGTTTCCGATGCTATTAGACTGATACGTCGCTGTAGATTCTGCGCCCGCCTCGTCCGCCCCATCCTCCTCCACGTGTGCGACAGTCCGATGGCCATTTCCAGATGAGGATGCCCATTGCCTGGCGTCCCGTTTTGCGTCTTCGGCTGATCGTCGAAGCAGCTGCACGTTATCGACGAGACATGAAATTCTCGGAGACAGCGCCTCTCTCGTGTCAATCGATTTTGGTGAGCCACACGAGTTGGCAACTGGACCGAAAAACGACGCCAAAGGTTGGTCTCTTAAGCTCTGATCCAATGACACCAAGCACGAGCCGACAACTCCACAGGCTACAAAATATCGAACCTAGTAGTCTCGAGAGGACTTTGAGAAAGATACCTAGAGTGTTTGAGCGCAATGAAGCAGAGTTGGTGCTGAAGGATCAGAGATTCCAGGCCTCAGCGGCTACGCTGGATCGTATGAGGCCAAGGAAGGAAATAATGATCCCCAATCCTAATAATATGTCCATAAAACTCTGATATATGTAAGGTAGTGTCTAGATGCTTCGACAGGGAGAAGAAGAGGTGCCAGATACGATTAATGGTGCATTTAATCAGGTTGAAGAGGAGAAGGGGGGAGGGAGGGTAAAGTCACCTGATTCGTCGCCTACTTACACACGGGCGCGGCGACAAACCAAAAACCCAACAACTCATGGCGATTAAGCATTGAACGCACTACAGAGTAGTATTTCTTCTATAATTTAGTATGGGCTAATGGCTTCAATTCAATTGATATAGTTTGTATGGTCATGGCGCCTTTTTGCTGTACCGGTTGTGGGGGTGTACCGGTTCTGGGTGGGGCATGGTACCATTTGACCCCGATGTCGTTTTGTCGCAGATCATGGAGAAAGCGGAAGACGATTCCGAGTCTGGCGATAGCTCCGCAGACTCACTCGCCCTTCAGCAGCCCACTGCTCGGGATTTGCGCCGACTGGTCGACAAAGGAGTCGACAGATCCTCGGTAAATGCTGACCGAGACAGTCGGAAGCTGAAAAGTACCCTCGAAAGCCTCCAATCTCAGAACGAATTGCTGAGAACCAGGAGTAATCAAACATGCACTCCGACCTAAACCCCATTTGGAAGAGAGCCCCACCACCAAAATTTGGCGCGGCGCCCGAGGCCACCTCTGCACACAGTTTTGAAGCCATCGTTTTGAAGCTATCACCAACGTCGCCACCGCCGCCGCCGCCTACCGCACAACCGTCACGATGAATTCGACCGATCGCAACATGAATACAAACAGCGACATTGAGGCTATCGAGGAGATGTCTTTCGATACGTATGACGAGGCGTTAGAGACGCTGAAGGCCACGCACGAGCTCCTTGGCTACGTTGTAGTCGTCAGAAACAGCAAGACTGCCGGCAAGCCAAGGCGCAAGGAAGCTAATATCCGCTGCGAATACAGTGGTCAATATAGGTGCTGGGATGCCAAGGAGGGCATATACAAGACCTCGACCAAGAAGTCGGGATGTGACTTTCGCTGTTATATCGGCAAGGGGAGCCTGCCCGACAGCCAGGGGATCAGAGGGGACACGGCGCCATACAATTTTGGTAGGCAGGCCGGGCATACGTTCGTCCCTTACGTGCCTCGTCCTCCGCCGCGTCAGACGGATCAGACGGATCCTATGGATCCTCCGGCACCGTCACAGTCATAGTCACGGCGTTGATTGATCTCACGGGCGGTAGTCAAAGGTGTGCACATTGTATATATATCGGAAAATCGGTCGGGCCGGGCGTATTGATATATTTGAACGACTCCAAGGAACGCAGCTTCCAGCGTTGGTGATAATTAAATGCTGATTGAATGCGACCGGGCGGCAGCCGCCGCGGCCACGGCGTTGGGAACGCGCGCGCCAAATTTTGGTGGTGGGGCTCTTCCAAATGGGGTTTAAGTCGGAGTGCATGTTTGATTACTCACCGGAAACAACTACCGGTATGTGCTTACCTTCGGGTAGAGCATGAAGACACATGGGGCTCTATTGTTTCAAATGGGTTTGCTACCCATCGTACTCACGTACTCGAGTATTCCTGAAATTTATTCGCGGCTTGCCACTGGTGGGAATCCATCCATCGCAGCCGCGTGCCTGGAGAAGTTGCCCAAATTTTGAATCCGTGCCGCCGACTTCCCAAAGGACGCCGCCAGCATCCTAATTGGCCCGCGCCTCGAGCCCCACCCCTGCCTCGGCTGCTTGCTCCTGCGAGCTTCGCCTTCGCGCCCCGCTTTCGTCCTCGCGTCTGTCTATTTGTCGCGAAGACCGTCGCGCCATGCAGGCAAAGTGGAACGCGCTCCACTTTTGCCTGCATCGCCGGCGCAATGGTCTTCGCGACAAGTTATGAGCCCGGGAGGGGATGGCTAACCACCCCTGTAACTTCCGGTAGCTGCGCGCGGTGCGGGGGTACCCCGCATATGGCTGTTATCCTTCCCCTTCTTAGGTATCCTTGGTCCCTTACCCGGATGCGGTGCATGGTGTTCGACTCCCGCGCCTGGTTTCCAGGAATCCCGGCGGAGCCGCGATCCCTGAGGGTGTGTCGGGAGCAGTCATTGGATATGTGTCAATTGCAGCGCACCTGTAGGAGCGCGTTCCACTTTTGCCTGCATGGCGCGACGGTCTTCGCGACACCAGACCGCCTGTTGTCATCTAACGTAATCCACCCCCTTCCCGGTCACACCCCTACCCGCTCAAAATTCCCCACCGACGCGACCCGCACCTCACGTCACGACCAACCGAACACAACAGACGGCAATTGAGTCCAAGAGACAAACAAGCAAGTCAATTCAGAACTGTCTAGCTATTACACGTCCGGGCATTGTGTTCAAAGACCTGCATTTACTACACCGTTGTGGTGCACGCTGTCTTGGGACGCATAGCTCTTCTTCTCTCTGCCGTCGGGCCTGCTCCTCCTCGACAAGTTGTTGCCGTGCATCATGGTTGCTATTCCTGTCAACCTGAACGCGTAACCGTGACAGAACCCGGGGTCGGATTGAATGGAGAAAGGCCTGTGGCCATGAATCCACATCGGATGTTCGACGGGGAGAGTGCTTGTCCGCGGGCCTCGACGTATAGAGGCAGGAAGTCCTCTTTCTCAATGTGGTTGACCCCTGCGAGCATCTTCTCTTGAACCTTCTGCCCATATATCGTTTTCAAGGGCGAAAAGCACCCGACATCCAGAGGCTGTAAGAGATGTGAGGAATTAGCTGGCATTTGGAGTACCACAATGGCATTATCCGTACAGTACTTGTCAAATTCCGGCGTAACATGGCTGCCGTGCCCGTCGAGAATGAGAAGTCGACGTGTTCCAACCGTACGGCGCCGTGTGTATGGGTCGAAAACTGCCTTTAACCAATGCAATCCAAGGTCGTCGGAAGTCCAACCTTTGTCGCTCACGGCAATCTGCCAGTCCTTGGGCACACCTGCTTTGTACCAGCTTGCTTGGTGCACCTTGCCCTGGAAGATGACCATCGCCGGCAAAACCCAACCTTGGCAATTGATAGACTCAATCACCGTAACCCCATTCTCGATTTCCTGGCTGCATGACCATAGGCCGACCTCGCCGGTCAGACCGAGTAAGGACTCTTGCCGTCGCAATGACTCCCATTTGAACCCCCCCCCGTCTTATCGAAGTTGTAGACATCCTCGTCAAGAATCCCCCATTTCTGCTTCGCCATTGCCACTCGATCGTACCATTCTTGGATCGTCTTCGGACCTTCGCATTTGGCACGTTGGTAATCATATCGACGAGAGTATTTCGCCTTGATTTCGTCGTGGCGGCCAACGAACTTCCGCACCCAATTCTCGCCGACAGTTTCTTGGCCGCGCTCAGAGAGCAACAAGTTGGCCATGCGGCGAGTGTAGACCACTGTCGGCGGCATCCCTCGCTCGTCCATCGACAAGACCCATTGTACGAGGGCAGTCTCTTCCGTCGCCGTCAACTTCCGGTTGTTCATCTGCGCATCGCGTCGGGGGCGGGCACCGCGCAGTCGACCAGATACTGTCGAGTGAGGGATATCATATGCCGTTGCGGCCTTGTGGGTACTGTCGAATTGGCCTTGCTGATAGGCCTTGACGGCGAGCAGGACCCGTTCTTCGCGTGGAATCGATTGGTCTCGAATTTCCGTCATCGTGCTCGGCTTGTCTCGCCATGAAGTGCGGGTCGTGTCGGTGGGGAATTTTTGAGCGGGTAGGGGGTGTGACCGGGAAGGGGGTGGATTACGTTAACTTAATCCGCGCCTCTATTGGCTCCCCACTCACCTAGCTAGCTTACGTACACAGTCACGTGTACGGCTGAGTACGGCTGAGGCCACAACGCTAGCTTCGTGACTTCCTCTCCCTTGGAGATAGACAATCCTCAAAGCATAATTCAGCCGAAGGCTGACTCTACATTAATCCATAAGTTTTTTCCCAATAATGAGGCTTTGGTGCAGACAGGGGTCAATAAGTTTCCCGGGTTCTGATTGGCCTAATCTTTGTATGGACGGCCGCAAAACGTGCAACAACTGGACGACGGCTCTTAAAAAGAAGAAAACACACACAGACAATACACACATCTCTGCAAGCCTAATCGGCCTGCACTCCCACATACGATTGTTCCACTGCATCACAACTGTGCATTTCCTATTCAGGATCACCTAGAACCTTCGGTTCTGACAGTTTACTAGGAATGTGCTTCACATGGAAACTTCATTCACGCAACGCCTTTTCACGCCTTGCTTCGATAAATAATGAGCCCTAGGTCTACTTATTCAGGGTTCGATGCTCGGCGCGGCTGCTGCTCCTGACGACAAGGCGGGCAACCTTGCGAAACAGGTCCCTGTATGCATTGGCGCCCGTCTGATGCTGACGTCCAACCTCTGGCAACAAGTTGGCCTTTGCAATGGCGCTCGCGGAGCAGTGTACCACATTGCCTGGGCGCCTGGAGCTGACCCCATCCAAGACCAACCGGTCCAACCCTGTGTTATCATGATGGAGTTTGACAAGTATAGCGGACCGGTACTCCTGACCACCGCCGATGGCAGGAAGGTTGTGCCGATTCTACCAGTGGAGAGGGACTTCCTCTTGCCCACAGACTCGCAGCCTTCGGCTGGTTGTACATCTTGCACCACTGCCCTAAAGTGCAAGGTGTGACGTAGTATTTTATTTCATGTAGTTCAAATGGTAGACTTTTGGTGGAGAATTTTTCAATTGCGCTACCGAAAGGTGGGTGTTACCGAAAGGGGGGTGGGGCATGGTAATGCCCTTGGCCCGGCTGCTGGGAAGAAAAGGAAGAGGGCCATAGGCACAGCAGAGGGCAGCATTTCTCTCAACCCGACCCAGAGCGTCGTTGTTGCCCTAGTCAAGCAACTACCAGAACAGACATACCATGTCTTCTTTGATAACCTCTTTCCTCGCCGAACCTCCTCAACGCTCTTCGTCAGCTAGAGATTGGGGCCACAGGCACAGCCCGAATCAACTGTGGCTTCTACAAACCCTTCGTGGAGGCGAAGAAAGCTGACACAAAGGGGGACTGTTGGCCGTGGGGCACACTGAAGACTGCGCCAACCCCTGACGGTCAGGTACGAGTACTAGAAGACAGGCTCTCTAGTAATTCCCCTACTAATTCGTCTTCTTCTTCTAGGTCAACCAATTCGCTTGGAAAGATAACGCTCTTGTGCTATTCCTCTCAACAGTCTATTCCGGCGAGGAATTCGAAGAGCGAATTCGGCGCCGGCCGACAACAACGCAGCCTCGAGCACGCCCAATACAGCAAAAATTCGGTGCCGAGCCTGTATTACGTCTTCCTGTGCCGTCTATCTCTGCAGACTACATTGATCAAATGGGCGGCGTTGATATTGGTGACCAACTAAGAGCAGGAGAGGACTAGACCACCGTGTTTGTAGGGGAAATTGGCGGGCACTTGCGTGGACCTTCCTGCTTGAGACTGCCCTTGTTAACAGCTACCTTCTTCAGCTTTGGGGCCAGCCAAGCTGGCCGCGAATAACCTCACAGCGCGAGTGGCGGCAACGCATTGTGAGAGATCTTTGCGAGGCTTATAGCAAAGACGGTAGCTCAAGACAACTATTTCGAGCTGGAGACATATTTACGCCTATAACACAGCAAAATACTGCGCCACGCCTTGCACTTTAGTCTTTAGGGCTGTGGTGCAAGGCGTACAATCAGCCGAAGGCTGCGAGTCTGGCTACCAGTCAAGCAGTCAGTCACTGAACAATCAGTACAGTATCTACAATCATACATTCATCTGCGCCTTGAAAATGTCGATCTTGTCGCCGGTAGCATCAAGTGGAGTTACGTAGACCCGTCGCCTATCTTATACGGATTCTGGGTAAGAACCTGTCGTTTGCGAAGTTGTTGATCCTTCATTTTCATCTTAATTCCTTCCGGCGGCGACGCATAAGTCAGGTGATTGCGGTCAAACGGGGCATCCAGCATCAGACCCTGCAGCGTTTTCACACGCGAGACGGCCACGTAGCTCAAACCGGTCTGAAAGTCACGGCACGACAGATCCGTCACGATCATGTCTTCGGTGATGCTCTGCGACTTGTGAACTGTAATGGCGTAGCACACGATCAGGGGAAACTGCGTACGAGTGCAGAGTGTGGCTCCGACGAGGAAGTCCCTGTCTACTGGCAGAATCGGGACAATCTTCCTGCCATCTGTGGTGGTCAGGAATACCGGCCCCGTGTACCGGTACTTGTCAAACTCCATCATGATCACGCAGGGAGGGTCTCGCATGGGGTCAGCTCCAGGCGCCCACGCGATATCGTATACTGTACCACGTGCACCGTTGCAGAGGCCAACCGGCTGCCAAAGGTTGGACGTCAGCATCAGACGGGCGCCAATGCATACGGGAATCTGCTTCGCAAGGTTGCCTGCCTTGTCGTCAGGAGCAGCAGCAGCACCGGGGCCAACGTTCTTAGCCATGACCTGGATGACAGGCCGGCCTAGGCGGTCGAGGTGGTAGTGGTTATATTCGTTCACCCTGTCTTTCGTGGCGTATACTCGTAGGGAATTGACGAACTTGGCAACCTCCTGATCGTCCAGCTTCGCCTGAACACGGCTGGAGAGGAGCTTCCAGGACTCCATAGAGAGTTGGAGCAGCCGCAATTCCTCAAGAGCTGAGCGAAACGCTGCCTGATCGTTGCCGCGCTGACGCTGGGCAACCTTCAAGAAAACCGTCTTGTCGAAGCGCCGATATGCGTTCCTGCCCTTGATCTCTACCCCCTGCACCTCCTTGTCGTAATAAAGAGGCTTCTGCAGTACAGGGGGAAGCTGAAAGAAGTCGCCAACCAGGAGGATATTAAGACCACCAAAGAACTCCTCATTTCTATTCGGGAACGCCTCACGGAGACGGTCATCAATCCATGACAGCTGTCGCAGACCCAGCATGCTCTTCTCATCGACGATCAGGTACTTGACATCCTTTAGCTTCTTCTGGAGCTGAGCTTTGTCGATCGCTGACAGGGGCTTGAAGTCCTTGTTGATGGGGAGGTGCAGCAGGGAGTGCAAGGTAGTGCCCGATATCTGATTTCCGCAACGCCCGTGGGCGCGGCACGCCAAACAGGCGTCCTCTTCCGCCCGAGGCGGCTTGGAGGTGCGCCGAAAGCAGATTGATGAGGTATGATTTGCCCGTGCCACCGCCGCCGTCCACATGGAGTAACAACTGGGAACAGGCCTGGGTCAGAAAGTGGCCCATCACCGTATCGTACACTAGGCGCTGCTCCGGATTCAGGGAATCGCGAGCCTCCAGCGGCTGATGATCCACATCAAGGTGAAGGGATTTTCGGCTTTGCGTTGCTTCCAGAAGTCGCCCTGGAGAATGCCGTCATCGGTATACCGTCCAACGTGGGAGTCCAGTCATAATTCACGTCGACATCTCGCCGGCCCAGCACGTCGATATCCTCCTCCTCCAGCGGATGGTCTGGCAGCATACGGGCGAGTTCATGCCAATCTTCCTCCACGACAGGCTCTTCGTGCTCCTCCCGCTGAAACTCATCGTCCTCTGCCTGCAGATCATTTGCTCCCACCTCGCCGTAATGGTCGTCCTCATGGAAATGGTGTCGCTGCCGGCAGCACTGGTACGCCGCCGCAAAGGACTCAAACGGCTGCCCGTCCACAGCAAGCAGCTCCTCCGGAGAGCGATGCGGATGGGCCATCATCAACTTGACACGGCAGAAGTCATGAAACTGGGGTGATGCCTCCGCTGACCTGTACCGAGGAAGTAGGACAGGACCCTCTTCTTCGCGTTCGCACCGAGTCTCCTCCACGTCTTGAGATTGTAGGACTGCAGGTACTCGAGATAGGTTATACTCTCATGTTGGTCATTTCTCTGCAGATATTTCCGGTAGCTGCCGACAGCCTCACTGACATCCTCGTCGACGCGGAACGACCGCACATGCTGCTCCAACGGACGGCAGTCGACGTATACAACCATCCGAGTGCCTTCCTGCAGAGGGATGTTGAGCAGCAAGTGGGAAATTTCCTGCGCTGAATAATCTCTCTCGGCAATCAACTTATTCATAAGGCGAGAGGAGAAGGACAACAGGGGCTGGTGGTGTGCTGTATGCGGCAAAACCTGATCTGCGAGCTTGCAGTAAGGCTCCGTCTTCTTCTCCGATTTGCTGCAATACTTGGCAGCATACGTAATGACTGCCTGTAAGCTGGTGCAGGGCGATATGTCGATATTGGCCAGCCAGCCCAGAATGATGGCAGGATTGAAGTGGTTCATGAGGCTGTCGTTGCGGGCTGCCTCGAAGATGTAATATGACTTACCTTCTTTCCTGATGACTGCGGCTAGCTCCCGCAAGGCACGGGGGAAGTTGAAACGACACTCCCTCTCCGGATCGGCGACATTGGCCGCCTCGATATCGGCTGCAGCCCCTTGCATATCGTTCGCCAGGTCCCCACTTCTCTTTCGGACCCGCAAGCAGTACGCGGTATTGCATCTGTGGCGCTGGCAGCGGTTGACGATTTGCGAGAGCCGCAGGAATGTCATCTCTACGCCCAGCGGATCCACACTCAGGGGATTCCCTTCACCCTGGGGCATTGTCCTGTTCGGCTCCGGGTTAATGGCAGTGATGTGGAATCCCCACGTGCGTGCAAAAAGGTCGCGAGCGGTTTCATCCCTCATGTCGGCTACCGGGCCATTCTCCATCCAGTACAGACCGTGGTTGTGTGGACTCCCACGCCCTTGCCATTCATACCGGCCCCAGTAATCCGTCACGTTAAACTTCGTTCTCAACACGATATCCCGAAAGAGACAGTATCGGCGGTGAAAGTGGAAAGCAGCAATGTGAGGGTTCTGCCGCAACAAGTACCGCGACAATGCCATCCTTTCCGGCTCGGACGCGCCCAGCCATTCTTCATATCGGGGCATGTGTTGGTAGAGGCTCCGCCAGTGTAAATCAGCCGGGCTAAATGTGATGAATGCGCCAGGACAACCCAAGCTGTAGGCATACGCCTCGAGGTCCTGCCTCTTTCTATTCCAAAGGGTCGCGTACCGCGAATCGACACCGCATGCCTTGTGATCGAGTTGATCAGCGCCTGCGCCCGTGGATCCTCAGCGTGTTCGAGCGCCTGAATAAGCTGCTCTCGCGTGAGCGGCTCACGGGTGCCATCGTGTTGCTTCACGAAGAATTTGGACCTCGCACGTGCTTGGGACCGCATCAGGGTGTTGAATGCGACAAAGCGGAAGGTTGGATGGCGCGCAAAACGGCCGTCGTGCCACCGCATCGCGTGCTCGATGTAATCCTTGTACTCAATGGACCGCAAGCGAGGCTCCACAAAGTCGGCTCTGCCGTCTGGAAACAGGCAGGGAATGCCAAGGAGAGCAGGGCATGAGAGTGATTGAACTCATTGATCGGCGTGTGCCGTATGTTGGGAAGCTGGAGCTCGTGCCTCGCCTGCCCTGGAGAGCCTGTGGCAAGGTTGCCCGCATCCGCTTCGGATTCACCCACGAGAATAGACCGCAGAGCATCCAGCTCCGTGTCCTTGGCCAACAGGTCAGGCACCGCAGCCGCATCCTCTAGGTCATGCTCTGCCTCCTGATCTTCCTCCGGTCCCACATCGGCAGCCTCCACCTGACTTTGGGGGATGGCGTCCACCACATTGCCGTCCTCGGGCAGTTGGCTCAGTCGCTCGTCGTCGATCGCGATGGATCGATAGCCAGGATGATGATGGCGCAGGTAGTCTAGCCATATCATAACCGCCTGGCGACGCACGCGGAACTGGCGGGTGAATTGCCGGCTGAGATTAGCGTGTGACGACGTGTTGGCAGGACGCAGCAACACCGTGTTCAACTCCCGCGGCAGGAGAGGGAGCTGGTTGTACACCAAGCCAACCTCGCGGAGAAAGTGAACGACGTGCCCTCGATACTTGTACTGCTGCCCCCGCACAAGCATAATGTTCACGTGGACATGGACACGAGCAATCAATGCCTCTTCGGTAGGTGTGAGCTCGGGCAATCGGGTCGGTACGGGGCCAAAGTCGAGCTGGTTTTCCGCAGAGAAGAAGTAAGGCTCGTCGGGGCCACGTTTCTCATCCTTTCGATAGCAACGCGAACAAATGCCGTCATAATCTATTTCCATCTGAAACCAACACTCGCGGCATCGGCTGCAGTATTCCATCTGGTCATTGTTGAGCTTGGTCCAGAACTCACGGAGGTGGCCCTATCGCAGTCCGTCAAGGCCCAAGCATCCAGGTCGCCAGTCCACGCCGGATCTTGTGCACGGAAGACCGCCATTTCTTCCGGTGGAATTATCACTGGACTTCGAATACGCCGTGGCGGCCGCGACAGTCGATATTGCCGTCGAGGTTGTCTCTGGATTCGCCTTCCCGGTTGTCTCGGCCGCCCTCCTGTGCCAGGGCAGGACCACGGCGGCCGCGTCTTGGCCGCGCAGACGGCTGCTGCAAGCGACTACGAACAGGGCTTTCATACACTGAATCGTTATCGCTGTTCTCGTCTTCGTTCTCGGCATCGGAGTTACAATCAGCCCCTAATTGTTCACGGTAGCGACGCGGTCGAGCGGGGGAAAGCAGCAGGTTGAAATAGTCCTCGGCGTCCATATCGGGTTCGGAAAACTGGTCTCTATTGCCCCTTCCTTGGCTACCTGATCCCCATTCGGCTGCGGCCGATCTCGACTCGCATCTACTTTCCCTGTTAGCCCGAACACACTGCTGCAACGAAAACACAAGGGACATCTTATCCAGGACACCCGAACCTTCCGAGACGCCGAGTTGAGATATGGAAGGAGTCAGGGACACGGTCTCCCCTGCACGACGTCGTGATCGATGGTCGCGCTGGATAGCGGCCAGCTTAACCCTAGCCCCTGCGGTAGAGAGATCATCTTGCGATACCTTCCCGCCTTTGTGAAATCTAGCAGCCAGGTAAGAATAATTCATTCTGGTTGCGTTGCCTCGGGCAGTCGATGGATCAAAATGGGAGGCGACTGGATCGGTCGCTGGCTGCTCAGCAGGTGACGGGGCCAGCGCCCGGAAGAACCGCGAGCTTTGTTGGGTTGGTGGAATTGGCGTTCCCAGCTCTATGTGCGGCTGGCTAATTGACTTTTTGAATAACGTCATAGCTGCATGAAGTCGTCGTAGCTTCTCCGGCGAACTAGGCTGGGTTCCCGATCTCTCGCTGGGAGGCGACAGGTCAGCATCTGCCTCGACTCTTTTCACGCTAGCTCTCCCAGGCGAGGAAGGACGGGCGGCGAGGTCCCTCAACGTCAGAATCGCCCCTCGGGATCTTGAACACTTCACTTCGTTAGTATTGAATGTCATACGGAGCGGGAAGACAGAGCTGACATGAGAACTGCACCGACTCCGACAGTCCAGGCAGTTCTTGGTGTTCCCGCCAGTTTTCCGTTTGCTCACGAAGTCACCTGCCGGTTTCTTCTCGCCACAGCGGGCACAGACGATCGAAGCCAAGTCAACTTGGAGCCCTTGAGTAGACCTAGAACTCATTATTCAGCCGAAGGCTTGAAGCAAGATATCAAGACGAGTTGGGTCAGTGAAGTTTCCATGTCACGCGACATTCCAAGTCACGCGACATTCCAAGTAAACAAACCGGGACCCACTTTTAGGAGCCGTCATCCAGTTGCTGATCGTTTTGCGACCGTACATACAAATTTGGGACCAATCAGAGCCCAAGAAACTTATGACCCCTGTCTGCACCAAATCCTCATATATTGGGAAACTTATTCTGATTAATGTATAGTCAGCCTTCGGCTGAACAAACCGGGACCCACTTTTTAGGAGCCGTCATCCAGTTGCTGATCGTTTTGCGACCGTACATACAAATTTGGGACCAATCAGAGCCCAAGAAACTTATGACCCCTGTCTGCACCAAATCCTCATATATTGGGAAACTTATTCTGATTAATGTATAGTCAGCCTTCGGCTGAATTAATGTATAGTCAGCCTTCGGCTGAATAAACATGTCAATCGCGGCAAAAGCTCTCGCTGCCTTCCTTGTCAAGGCTTTAAAGCTGGGGAAATAAGATCACGAAGTCGGCGCAAGCCGTTAGGCACAGCTAGCAGCAATGCACGCAAGAAGCCGGGCACGAAGACTCGTAAGGGATGTAACCAGTGTGATGTAGCTATATGTACTAAGCAGGATTGCTGGGACTTCTACCATAGCCAAATTTGCTAGTAAAACAATGTACCCCTAATCGCCTAGTGGTCTTATTGGCTGAGATCCCTGTTCGTGACCCCCTTGCTCCTCCTCGACACTCAAAGGGATGGGCCATTCCACGAGCATGAAAAGTGGGCTTTCATGAGTGATGCATGGGGTCAATGTGACTTTACGCACGTGCACTTGACACAAATTTATCGGCAGAACGATAAACATTTTTTAAAGATGCTGTCGGATCTCACCACGAGGCACGCACGAGGGACAAGTCGGATGTGAAAGCTGATCCCGCAGAGAAGGGGTAAAAGAGGTCTCTGTTACTGTTACAAAAGAGAGAGTAAAGAGCGTTGGGTGTCCACTGACCGAGCTTAAATAGCTGTCAGGAGGGACCCCGATATCTGCATACACAGGAAACAAGTATCCTCCTTCCAAACAGGGTCAGCTCGATGCGACACCTTTTTCTTCCACCACACATATCGTTGCGGCGCATCTTTACCAGCCCCACGTCCGGCTCCAGGCTGTAAACACTGGCGGCTTCCACTGTATCCTGGCCAGGTCGAGAGATCTTTTTTGCTTCTGCTTCTGTTTCTCCCTTTGCTTGATGAGCTTGTCGGGGATGACGATCTTGTGGTCGCTCTTGTGATAGACTTGCATATTCATTGCTTGCAGGGTGTGTTCGACATCCTGAGTCATCATGGCTAGAGTTTTGGAAATCACCTCTATCGTCACTCTGTCGTCTCGCTCGTTGTAGCCTAGCAGCAGATCGAGTATGTTTTCGGACCAGTACTGGCGATAACTCAAGAGGCCCAGATCTGAAAGCGGCTTTTCCGGTGATCCTAGCTTGCCTTCGATCTTGGATAGCTCGTATGAGAACTGAATCAGCAACCTTCCGTATCCCTTCCTCTGGTGCTGCGGCAGAGTCATGATACAAGCCACGTTGTATCCGTCCGCACTCTCCTTCTCTTTGGAGAAGTATCCTACGATATGGCAGCCCTTGTCGCTCCGGGTCGACATGACGTAAAAGAGAAAGGGGTCGACGTCGTAGTACAGTGTCTTGTGATCGAGAAACATTTTAGACAGTAGGCAGAGATTCCGACACCATGTGCGTTGACGACGGCCATCGATTTCGAAAAAGGACACGTAGTCGTCTCTGTATATTTCATTACCCGGTGGGTGTTGCAGCGTGCACTTTCTGCGATGTCGCAGGAATGCCTTCTCGTCACCATAGTAACTCAAGCAGAATTCGCAGATGAAGATGACGTCATCCTGGCTGAACACTTCTGGATAGGGGGAAAAGTACCACGGAAACAAGTCGTTCTTCCCGAATTGGACTCTCGAGATATTTCGTACTCGCGAAATTTCGGCGGGTTTTGACTCATAGAACCTGAGGTTCTCAACTTCTCGATTTCCTCTTCGCGACTGAACCCGCTTTCTTCATAATTCCTTCCTCCTCGTCCGCGTCCAGCTCGTCGGTGGCGGCCGGCGTAGCACTAGCCCCGACGCTGGTGAATGTCTGGGGATCGCCATCGGGTCCAATCGACGATGATTTTCGGGTTTGAGACTCCACGAATTCTGGGTGTGACGGAGTCAGCAGATGGATCTGTCGTCGCTTTCCAAAAACATTGTGATGGTGGGCACACCTGTCCAAGGATGAGGAGTTGTGGCCTCAGAGTGAACCGACTGCTCCCTCTTTCCGGGGCGTTTTTGTGCCTTCGTCGAAACTGGGGCCTTTTTCGTTTGTACTGACGGCGCTTTCTTGGATTTTGAATCGTTCAGGTTGCCCTTTTCTGGATTCGGCCATTCTACATCCTGGCTGAAGTCGATTCTGGCCACAGGAACCCACTCATCCAGTCGCTTGTTAAAGTTGTCGAAGTTGCAATAGAAATGCTTGCCACTCTTCGTTTCTTTGATACTGAGGATCTCGGCTCGCCGCGGTTGGCCTTCCTTCTCCACCCAGGCAATGCAGCCCGTCCTCAGAGTTTCGGGAGACGCCTTGCCCTTTTCTCGCGGTGCGTCCGACCCGACAGCCGCCTCACCACTCGGCGTATCAACCCTCATGATACGGAAGGGAGGGTGCCGGAGAAGGGTGCGTGGGCGACTTTTGGATGGACTCGTAGCTGATGCTGGAAACTCGGTGCCGAGGGCAGGTGGGTGCTGGTAAATTATTCATCGCTAGGCGGTCAAGACAGGAAATCTTATCAGCCCCTGTTAGAAGCATAATGAATGAACCATGGCTTTGCTGCATGCATACCTAGGTTAGGTTCCTGCCTGCAAGGGAAAGGGATTTGAATAACGAAACATACACCCCCAATTTCGAAACATGCACCCCGAGCTAAACCCCATTCGGAAGAGCACCAAATTTTGGAAGTAACGAAACATGCACGGACGATTTCGAATCATGCACGGAGACTTAAACCCCATTTGGAAGAGGACCCGCCCACAACAATTTGGCGCGCGCGTTCCCAACGCGATGGCTGCCGCGGCCACTGTAGCCAACGCCGCCGCCGCCGCCGCCGCCACGATGACTACGATCGAGGGCTCAGGCCCTGAGCCTATATCTATCCAGGACACACTTTTTTGCACATATTCCGAGGCTCTTGAGGCACTTCGGAATGATCAGCAAGATCAAGGCTACGTCGTTAACGTTGCAAACAGCAAGACTTCCGGGAAGGCTAAGCGTAAAGCAGCCACTATTCGGTGCCAGTGGTAGGCGCGACGAGGCGGCCACGGCGTTGGGAGGCGCGCGCCAAATTGTTGTGGGCGGGTCCCTCTTCCAAATGGGGTTTAAGTCTCCGTGCATGATTCGAAATCGTCCGTGCATGTTTCGTTACTCAGACGGGACCACACCGACCTACGCCGCTATGGCCCAGAAGGGGATGGTGCAGGCAGGGGCCCCTGCCGGTCCGCCTCGACCCACGGCCCCGAAACGCCTCCGGTCCAGCCGCCTAAGGATGACCTGTCCGTGGGGCTTAAGGTGTTACGCATTAATGTATTGAAATGTCAGTAGCTTTTACGTCTAGGCCCTATAGGAGAAATCCTCCGGGTGAAATACACATACATACATACATACAAGGATGACCTGCGTGTCTTCATGCGGCTCGACGACAAGTCCCCAGCATGGGGCTACCAGGGACATGCCATCAGAGCTCACGTAGCTAAGACTCTCAACCTAGGGATAGAACGCATGCCACAGATCGCCCGGGTGAAGACTGGATGGGTTATTCGGGCCTCAGACCGGGAGGCGAGGGACCTGCTTGTGGAACGGCAGGACGACTGGGCGGCCCGGCCCGCCTCGGAGCGGTTGAAGGCTTCCAGAAGTGGCACACTTACGCTGTGGCTGACTGCCCGAGGCAGCTCACGGATATATGGGGGGCCGTGGACTGGCCAAGCTATCAAAGGGATCAAGCCCCAGACAGGCGCCGAACCAATTGATGCTCCATGTTGCTAAGAGACACTCCGAACGCTCCGTCGCGACCAGCCTACTGTGACGATGACTGTGTCCTTCGAGGCGGCGATACAGAGGAGGTGGCGGCTCTTGGGCACCAGCCGACTAGCCCGACTGATCGCCAAGATTGGGATCACCACTCCCGCTACGCCTGCGACCGAAAGCAGGCCCGCCGACGATGTGGCGGGAAAGACCACCGTGATAACGACTGCAAGCACCCGCAGAGGTGCGCGAACTGCGCCGAACCCTTTCCGACAGACCGACCATAAGGAGTACCCTGCCAGACCCAGGCGCTCACACGGCCAACTCGTGCGGCTCACCAAGATCGAAAAGTACGCCGTAAGGAATATCGGTTCTCAGCAATATCAGCAAGTCAATATGGTTCTGGAAGGCGCCGAGAGTGACGATGATGTATGCAATATCATGCGGTGGCCGAGAAGGCGAGTCCGTTCAGGCCGCCTATACAAGTAGGCGAAACGTGTGACGGCTTTCGTTGAGCACCGTCACACCCCGTTTGCGTACATGACCCACATGTTGTTAAGCCACGGCCCACACGTACGGAAGACATATTTAGGGAGAGGACACCCGGCTGTATTGTTCTGTTCTCCTTTCTCTTCTTCAGAGTAGAATCTTCGTAATAGAGTCCACAGCCTTCTGGCTCAGTCCGTGACCGTCACAAAACGTTCTATGAGACCCAGACGGAGAAGGCAAACGTGCTTCGGACAGAGATCCTGGAGAGGCGCGTGACTGCAGACGACATCACGGACCCCTAGGCGCCGGAGGTCCGGCAGAGGACCCTCGACTGCAGCGTCGTGCTCGCCGACGCGGCTCACTCGTGCACTTCCACTGGAAACATCTCCCGGAGTCGACGGCATCACAGTTCGGATGTTGCGTCGGATCTGGAGCCACATTCGGCGAAGCGGTGAGGGAATTGTATAAGGGCTGCATACACCAGGGCCACCACCCGGTCTGCTACCGCCTGGCGGAGGTAGTGATGATCCCCAAACCGGGCAGGAGGGACTTATCTGCCCAAGAGGCTGGAGGCCCATCTCCCTCCTGGCCTGCCTCGGCAAGGACTCGAGCGTCTGATAGCCCGCCGTCTGGCCTGGGTCGCGATCACGCAAAGGGCCATCCACAGCCAGCACGCGGTGGCCTGCCCAAATGCTCAGCGCTCGACCTAGCGTTAGCATTGCTTCACGACCAGGGCGATATTGCCACGTTGATCATGATGGACATACAGGGCGCCTTCGACAGGTGGTGCGGAATAGGCTCCTCCTGCGACTGCGGGAAGCCATGCCTTCCGACCTTGCACCTAAGCAAGATTCGCTTCTCAAGTCATCGTCCTTCACGACATTGATAAAAAGCATAGCCGGCCCAATGCTTGTTACACGCCGCTATAGGCTTTTAAACTCGTCCGAATCCTTTAGACGACTGGGCAACTTATGACAGTAGTCCCGGTTCTTCATGGCGCTGACCTTGCGAAGGTTAGCGATGCCGTTGCCCGTTGGCCATATCATCAAACATCGCCAAATCCCCCACCCTCTCCTCCACCGCATCAAAATGCATACACCTATCGTAGTGGTTCAATATAACGTGCGGTTCAGTCCAAGCAGTTCCGAAATCAACAAGCTTCCCATCTCTATAGTTATCTTCCTTTATATCACGGACAAATATCCCCATCGAGTGTAAAGATCGCAGATCTCGTAGGTTGCGCGGCAAGCTTTTGACACTGACCCGGAACCTGCACTTGCAAGATCTTCAACAATGGCATAGATCGGACGGATTGGTGTTTCTAGGGCGTTGTCCTGTTCAACACTGAAATCAAGGTTCCACTCATCCTCCAGTTTTCGGATGTCTTTTCCTCCAAGTGGAAATAAAGCCGTGGCATGGAACTGCAACTTGATGCGGCAGTAATCGCCTGTCTTGCGCCTGCTTGATTCGACCGTATGCGCGGCATTCTGAGTAAAAGGGCATAACATGCCATTCCAACTCTTCTTCAGTGCAGCGGATACCCGCAGTGTAAAATTGGTGGTAGTCATACGAAATATCGTACGGCATAAACTAAGGCATAGTTAACCTCTCGAGCTGCCACAGCTCCTCACCACTACTTACCACCTTCAAAGCGTAGTGCTTAGACTCGATCTCAACCTTGAAAACATGTGCCATGATCTCAGAGTGGCCCGAATATGGTTCCAAGTGGTCATCGAGCATATCTTTCCAGGTGATCGATGCGTTGGCGAGTGCAGAGGGATGCAACTTCGGACCATGGCAAGGCGGAAGTCCGTCTTGAACGTCCATGTCCTCGTCGAATAGACCATCAGCACATCTAGAGGTGGCTGTAGTCTTCCGGGGCCCTAATTCGAGAAGATTTGCTCCGCGTCCGCTTTGGCTTTCTTCCGTCGTTTTGTTGTCGCCGTCCTTGTCGTGCCATGTTGTCATATTTTGCTCAAAAATAGAGCACATAGTAGAGTGAAATTTGGAAATAATGGAGGCGGGAAATGAAGCCTGTGATTGATGGCGAGTGGATGAGAACAGAGCTGGCGAGGCAAAGCTTCCTGACTTGGAGAGAACCACGGTTGTATTGCAGTGCGCGCGTCACGGTCGTCAGGGCTGGCTGGATGATTGGAGGTAACCAAAACTCCAACCATTACGCCCAGTTCTTGTCCCAAATGCAACGCATGTCTCATTGAGGTACTACTTCTTACTCCCGTTGTGCCGATATGGGCATCGCGGTTCCCGTCGCACCCATCCTTCCCTGTCAATTTCGCCTTCCCCAGCCTCTTTGCACGTCTCTTTTCATTCAGCCGTGCAGGATACAGTATATCTCGCTGATGCTACAGGCTAGAGCAACAAGGCAATATGAGGTGCATCAAGTGGCCAGAATCCGGCCTCATCGTCGTCTTGCACCTCTCCCACGCCCCCTCCATTGCAAACTTTCCCCCTACACCCCCTTCTCCCCGGCGTTAAATATCCCAGCCAACGACACCACGGAGCGGGTAGCTACGCCGGCTCTAGCCCGAGTCGAGACCGCCCCTCAGACCGCCCTCTGGTCATACCGGCTTCCCCGGGCACGATCCTGGGGCCGACCTTCCCTTCCTACGAATCCTCTCCGAGATGCGACCGACCATGCCTTGCAGATTGGAGACGCAATGTGACCATCACGTCGTGCAACCACCTGTTCACCAACTTGACCCGCTCCTTGAAGCTGTTAATCCCGACGTGAGCATCCTGCCCCTTGCCACGCAGGCAGCCTCCCTGCAAGCCTCGCCACTTTCCGTTACTTCAATATGTATTGCCCTGCTTCGGACTAAGCTGAGGGAGTAGAGATCAGGGGGTGAACCTGCCTCAGGTCCACCCCCTGACCCTCACTACGGGGGATCCTGTGGGCTAGTCTGGCCTAAGACCACCTAATCACTTTGGAAGTCTGTCCCTACTCTTGCTTGGTAGTTGGCTTGCTGATGACGTTAGAGAGGATGAGTCGGATGACCGGCGCATAGATGCAGAATCTGACGGTGTTCCAGCCAAGGATGAGCATTATCTGATGGAAGGGTGGCCTGATTTGCTGGAGCTCACATCAGGGGCTACAATGAAGCTCGACAGGGAATCGGGAAGTCTGTTCTACTCTTATATGACGGTGTTGGTGAAATGTTGTGTCAATACACATCGGAAAAAGGGGGTCACCACAGCTAGATTCAAGATGCATGTTCTATCTCTAAAGGGGCAGTCTGAAGGGGCTATTTATACAGGAGGCCTTAGGGAGTTCTGGAGACTTCCTGAGTATGGGGCTCTACCCGTGCATACTTGGCTGTGCCCACGCATAAAGGGGTAGCTTTCCTTACTCAGGAAGTCCTGATGCGTTACTGCTACAGAGGCCAGGAATCCCTTTTCCAGGTCCTCCCTAACGGGGCTGCCCTGGTCCACAGACAGAAGGATATCAAAAGCTTTAGTGAATCGGTAAGGGCATGGCCAACAGTGCCAATCTTCAATATATATTTAAAACAACCAATGGAATCGGCGATACGCCCTGCAGACCCTCGTCAACGCGTGTCAGCAGGTGCTCCTAGGGAATCATAATGCGGTACCACTGCGTTTGGATAAGTCGGCACAGAATAATGCAAGTGCATTACCGTACGGCCGCCAGTAGACGTAGGCTGTGTTGTTACCATGGCTTGGCCGGGACTGTCGTGCATCGACGGGGACGGTTGCCCGCCATAGACGCAGCCTTGTCGCGTGGTGCTCGCGCGACTCAATGGGGTTGTCGGTGGATACGGAGAATGAACAGCCGATTCCATGACTGCAGTAGCCATGCCCATGTGATGTTGATAGCCGTACGAGGACGTCACGAGCTGCGACGGCTCCCAGACGGACGAACTTGTCGTCGACCCCTCGGTGGTGGAGGGGTTCCGAATCGACTGTCCCGACAAATATAGGGAGAAGTCTTCATCTAGACTGGCCAGTTGTCGCGGCATCAGGAGCCGTTGTAGCGACTGGACAGCGGCACTAGGGTCTTCGGCGTGAAAGGGTTGGCCTTGGTTGGAATCAAGTGGCAAGGTGCCCGACTGCAAGAAACGGGTTATTTGGTCGTCGCTAATGCCATGCCTGTTGAGGAGCTCCTGAGCTGCTTGTTCTCCTCGGCTACTCTTCTCGCGGCCATCTGGACCTCGGTAGAGGCCTCGATGCCCTGAGTCTCGTATTCTCTGAGTCGCCGTTTGAGGTCCTGGACATATTCTCTCCGTCGGGCGCGCGATCTCCTCTGGTTGTCTCGAATTCGGGCTAATTTGTTCTCGCGCTAGAGCAGAGAAAGAGAAAGGGACTCTGCTGTTAGTTAAGGCCGTTCCAGTCTACGGTATCACCTGGGTTGATGTCACTTACCGCGAGGGTTGACATTTGGCTTGCAAGCTTGTTTGGGGCCGCCCTCCTTGACTAATGAACGGGAAAGGATTGTAAAATAAGCGTCTCCAAGTAGAATATCTGTGAGCGTGTAAGAGAACGAGAAATGCGAAATTAACAAGTCATAGAGAGTTGGGGGGAAGAGCTGGAAGAATTGCTCCAGCGGCTCCGATCACTCGAGACGCATGCAAACCATGGCGCAGCCTTTGCAGCCTTCACGGATATTTGGACAGGTGACGGTTGGATATGCATTTCGGCGTCTCAAATAACTACACGTCCTCATGCGCACGTCCTCATGCGCCTCGCTGACTGTCCACCCCAGCCGATCGAGGGGCAGCGACTTACGAAGTACAATGGAGAGTGTGACATTGTCTGGCGCGGAATGCTTAGTAGTTCAGGATTCCTCGCGAATTCCGCAAAAAGAGGTCATAGACAGGCGACCTCCAACTTTAATTTCAATGATCTATTTTGTAGTGTTCTCTACTGCGACGGCGTACAGCAATGTAGCTACGGCGCAACGCAAGGTAGCAGTAGCCAGTGTTAGAAGACGAGTTTATATTATTACATGCTCGTTCTCGCCGTGGCATCTTCGTCCATTTCTCTCAAGCTTTCACTCGCATATCTCTTTAGTTTTATAAGGTCCATTCCTTAGCTGTCTTCTCAACAGCTTGAAAAAGCCGTCGCTGCTCGGGTTAGTTCCCAATCCGGGTTGCTTCTGGGACAACTTACAAATGCGTTCTCCGTCCTCGCGATCAAAACAGCCGTCTTCGTAGAGGACATTCCGACGAGAAATCTCCATGTTCTCGGCCACAGGGTATGGAGGGTCTCCCCGAGTGTGTTTGGGGATCCAAGCTGTCCCTGAAACTGTGCAATCGCCTGGAGATCCGAGGTGATAGTGTTGATGAGCACTCTTGCGCAAATACGCGTGCTCTCTCCGAATTCTCTTCAATCTCTTTGAAAAGTTGCCGCATGATACCAAAGATAATTGTTTGGAAGGTGACGGTAGGGACCTCCGTATGCGTGCTGGGTAAGCGAC